ACACACACACACACACACACACACACACACACACACACACACACACACACGAAGGCCTGATGAAACGGGTCACTGAGTAAAAGCACTTAATCATTATTTATATAACTATACATTTATATTTAATGTTATATATATATTATTTAAATTCAAGTTCCTGGACCCTAAATAAGGGCGGAAGGAAAAGAACTGACTAAACAAGACTGTCATTTGCCAGACACATGCATGCCATCGTATGTACACCCACATATCATGGATACCCACACAATAGTAATAAATATAATTTAAAATTAACAAAAACAAACTTAATACCATACTAGAGTACTGAAATAAAGACAGAAATGTCAGAGAAACAATAAATTTTTATAATAACTTGACAGGAAAATATTAGATGGCAAGGAAGAATTTCATAAAGGTCAATTTTTAAAAATCTTATTACAGTATCTTTGCAATGTATGCAAAATTAAAAATAACATACATCCTACGTGCTTATCACTCAGCTTCATTTATTAATATTTTTGTAAAAGCTATTTCATTTTATTTTACCAGGTTTTTGTCATTTGTCGAGCTTTAAAACATATCACACTATTTTACCTAAAAACTCTATTATGAGCCAAGTGTGGTAGCACACACCCTTAATCCCAGCACTCGGGTGGCAGAGGCAGGAGAATTTCTAAGTCTGAGGGCAGCCTGGTTACACAGCAATTTATAGGACCACCAGCACTACACAGAAAGATCCTGTCTCTAAAAAAATACACTTCACTATGGAAAGGTGAGCTTTTTTAAAGATTTTTTTTAGTTTTACATTATGTGTATGAGTGTTTACCAAACTGCAAGCAAGCCTAGTTCCTGCAGTGGCCAGAAAGAGGACATCAGATTTCCTGGAACTGGAGTTACAGGTTTTTCTGTTTTGTTTTCCCACAAATCACAGTTTGTAAACAGTCATGTGGACTCTGGGAAACAAACCGGGGGCCTCATGTTGTTAACCACTAACCCTTTGCCCCTGCCCTAAACTTTCTTGTCAATACTGGTATCTAAAAAATTCTGTTAGCTAAAATTGTATTAGCTTAAGCTAAACGCTGTCCTACACATTATACATGTGTTTTCTTATGTAATTATGCTTCACAAGCTAAACTTCATTATTCTCACTTTGCAAGTAAGTTTTTCATGGCTCAAGTCCCATCTAGCCAACAATGGTGCTAGGATATAATCCAGAGTTGTATAATAAATGGGATGGCTCAGAGGTAAAGGTACTTAATCCACGCCTAATAACCTAAGTTCAGTATTTGGGACCCACAATGGTAGAAGGACAGAACTGACGCTACAAGCTGTCCTCCATACATGCACTGTGGCTACACATGCCTACATGCACATATGTATACAAAAGAAAATGTAACAAAAACTAAATAAAAATAAACCTAGAAGTTAACTCTAGACTTTTTTTTTAACCACTAAAATCTGTTGCTTTCTCACTATATTTCTGGCTGTGAAAATAGGATATAAATTGTAGTAATTTTAAGGGAGGGATTGCTGAATTAAGAAGCAAATGGAAAAGACAGTAAAAATGTGAGCAATTGTGCCTTGCTTCTTCACATGAGAAATTTTCTTTGAACACCTCAAATGAAAAGGGAAAATATACTTAGATACAAGTACTATCTCCTAGGATATAAAAAAGACCACCTAAGGAGAAAAATAACAACTAGGCTTTTTTCTTTCTTTCTTTTCTTTTTTCTTTTTTAAACAAGCTTGAAGATGAACAAATCTCTTTAAAATCTGCCCTCCAATGATATGGGTGGGAAAATGTCTTTACTTTTACCAGACCTAATAGTTTAAATAAAAAGACACCACAAACAGGTGGGTAAAGAATGGCACATTGACATCTCATTGCTTAATAAAATCTTGAGTAAAAAAATAAAGAAACTTAGTTTTAAAATGTTCTCCTGATTGATGTTAGCACTCTAAACCTTTTGTCTGTAGCCATATAAAAGAGAAACTACTAATCCAGGACTTTTTAAGAGAAAGGAGCCTTCACTGAAGAACAACTTCCCTAAACCTTTCCCTAGCACAGATCTGAGTACCTAAGTCCATCACTTTTTCTATGGAATTTACCTAGGACATCTTCCTCAATCATCTCCATTCTTCCTTCCTAGTTTCTTCTTTACTCTGAGTGTTTCCTTAGAAAACTAATCAATATTTTAGTAGAATAATCTTCTCTAGACTATGAATTCCCAGCAAGCCAGGACCCATTGCTTATGTCTCCAGTTCCTAATCTTCAAACTTAACACTTCTAAAAGTACTCCACAAAAGTTCTTGCTGAACAAGAAAAGAAGCTAAACATACCAGAAGACAGAGTAACCTTTATGAGAAGAAATTCTTTTATCAGTATAAAACCTCCCAACATTCCATGCCTTCAATTCTGCTCCTTTTTGAATTCCCATCGGCCACTAGGTCAAACTGAATAAAACAGTATAATCCTCTGAGGGCTGGAGAAAGAATTTATCCACTTTGGCTTGCAACAGCTTCTAATGAAGTACAGGGATATTAGCTTGAAGGATCCAGAACATAGTTCAGACTTTCAAGAGCTTGTACTGAGAAGCCAAGACACAGGATGAAGTTTGAAATGCTTGCTTTTGACATTTAAAGGCAAAAGGCAGCAAGAAAAAATAATTCTAAAAGATCCAAAACAATAATTAGTAAGGAACATCACTTCATCTACTTCTACTGCTTAACAGTCAAAATAACAACAGTTTAAAATCCCCAGTTTATAAAAAAAAAAACAACAAAGCTGGGCATGATGCACACGCCTGTAATCCCAGCACTCCAGGAGGCAGAGGCAGGTGGATTGCTATGAGTTCGAGGCCAACCTGGTCTACAAAGCTCCAGGACAGCCAAGGCTACCTAGAGAAACCCTGTCTCGAAAAGCCAAAAAATAAAAAAATAAAAAAGTATAAAACAACAACAACAACAACAAAACTTTGGGCAGAATGCAAGGAATCATATGAAAGAAGGGGGAGATAGAAAGATCTGGAGGGGACAGGAGCTCCACAAGAGAGCAACAGAACCAAAAAATCTGGGCCCAGGGGGGCCTGCAGAGACTGATATCCCAATCAAGGACCATGCATGGAAAGGACCTAGAACCTCTGCTCAGGTGTAGCCCAAGGCAACTCAGTCTCCAGGTGAGTTCCCTAGTTAGGGGAACACGGGCTGTCTCTGACATGAACCCAATGGCTGGCTCTTTGACCACCTCCCCATGAGTGGGGGAGCAGCCTTATCAGGCCACAGAGGAAGACAATGCGGCCAGCCTTGATGAGACCTAATAGGTTGGAGTCAGATGGAAGGGGAGGAGGACATCCCCTATCATTGGACTGGGGGAGGGACATGGGAGAGAGAGAAATCGGAGGGAGGGTGGGATTGGGAGGGGAGAAGGGAGGGGGCCACTGCTGGGATAAAGTGAATAAATTGTAATAAATAAAAAATAAATAAATGAATAAAAAAAAAAGCACTATGGTCAGGTTACTGCTCTCAACTACAGGGAAGAGGCTCACTGGTCTGAGACCCTTCTCTAATACTCCTTAGCCAAACAATTTCCCATAATTATTTGCTTAAATAATCCTTTGAAGTAAATCTTTGGATAAGGAAGTTTTCTTCTTTATCAATTTAAGAAAATTCAAAACACATCTCAGTTTAAGCTCATTACTATGGAAAGAAAATTCTCAATACATGTTTTATAAGCCCCTTTGGTTACCATGTTACCTTGGTTAGAGTCCCCTGGGTCTTCTATATGAGCAATGACTTTGCTGAGATAAATGTCCTTCTGTTTCTCTAGATCTGATTGTGAAAACATCCTTGAATAAAGCAAAGCAGAAAGAAAAACAAACAGCCCGTTAGAACCATGATTACAGTGCTTTATAGAAAAGTCACATATCGATGATTGGTTAAACAACTAACTTTCAGTGACAGAGAAGGCACTGTTAGTCACAGTACAAAACTGAAATCAAGTATAGAGTTTAGAAGTGAAGGGAAAAGAAATAAAACTCCTAGCTGGGCAGTGGTGGCGCACGCCTTTAATCCCAGCACTTGGGAGGCACAGGCAGGTGGGATCTGAGTTTCAGGCCAGCCTTGTCTACATAGTTAGTTTCAGAACAACCAGAGATACACAGAAAAAGCCTTGACTGAAAAAACAAAAATAAAAACAAACAAAAAAAGAAAAAGAAAAATATCAGAAGATAAAAATGAAGTAGCTACCAGAGAGAGAAAGCAATTGTTGAATAATTCAAGTTTAGCCCTCTCTGGCTTCTATGTACCCTGTACACACATGGTTCACAAATATAAGTAAAACACCTACACACATAAAATAAAAGTAAAATCTCAAAAGAAGGAAAGAAATTGATGAAGCTTCCAGAATTATATAGAAAAAGAAACAGAAGCCACTAAACTAAAATTTAGTGACAAATAACCCTATTTATCATTTTAAAAATGTTTAATACAGAATGAATATGCTATAAGTATATTTTTAAAAAAACTTCAATTTTCTGATTCAACCTATACAGTAGCTTTTCCAGTACACTCAATTGAAAATACCCATATACAAATACTGCCACCTCCTGGCAACAGGAAAGTAAGCTAAAAAGATGCCTCAGATCTGCAATCCTACATATTTGTCCCCACTGAACACGAAGAAAGAAGACTAAATGATTTTCTAAATCACTTTAACCTTTTTACTGTTAAAAGTCTGACCTCTGACTAAATATTTGATCAGACCTCCTCATACATATAAGAAATGTATTTATATGTTTTACTAGTATGTCTTTTTTACTTTCAAAATAACCTTGTGAGGCTATAGAGAACACATCACTAGCTTTATTTTACTGACAAAAACTGAAGTGAGAGATTAATTGATTTGTTTAAAACAACAGAAATAGGTACAAATAGGTAGCTTCAGAATTTCAAGTTTGTTTAGCCCTCCTGCAGAATATCCTGACTTATCCCTCAAACACATTAAGAAGATACTGAGAATGGGAAGAAAGAAAGAGCACTATCAGAAACCAGAATGGTTATACAGTACATTACCTGGTTCTGGTTTGTAGAACAGGAATGACTTTGCCTAGTCTTCTCTCACCTTTCACCTCCCCAGAATCCTTGTCAAAAGCATGCTGATTTGTTGTTGTTTTCCAGAGCAGAAGGAAGAAATACAATAGGACAGATAATTACTAGCTATATTTTTTAATAATTTTCAGATATAACATAACTGAAAACATCACTATGTGAATAGAGTATTTTTTTGGTTGTTGTTGTCGTTTTGGGTTTTTGAGACAGGATTTCTCTTGTGTAGCCCTGGCTGTCCTGGAACTCGATCTCTACACCAGGTTGGCCTCAGAGAGCTCCTCCTGCCTCTGCCTCTTGAGTGCTGAGATTAGAGGCTTGTGCCACCACCACCCAGGGAAAATATTTATTTTATAAACAATTATCTTTAAACAAACACTACTGTATATAACACACTATGGTAGCATTTAAAATAAAACAGTAATTATATTTTAAAAAAAAGGAGAAAAACTTTCTGAAGAAGGGATTATTTTATATAATACCCATTTAGGAGATAGAGAATTAATCTCAGACGCTCAGGAGGGTCAAGGGCTATAGCTCACCCCTAGCATGCGTGAGGCCCTGGTTTGGATCACCAGTATTTACATGAAAACCACACACACAAAATTAGAAAAACTTGTAATGATGCTTGTAACTTCAGCACTTAGGAAGCAGAGGCAGTACTACTGAAAGATCGAGGCCAGTCAGACTTACAGAGTGAATTTCACGCTAACCAAGGCTCTGTTACAAGACTCTTTCTCAAAAATTCAAAAACAAAAAAAGGATAAAACAATACCTTAATACAATGTACCAGACCCTATAAGTTCATTATGTTATTAATTCTCCCTATAGTGTGAGGTATCATTTTCAGTTTATTGTTAAGAATTGTAAGGTGGGTGGGTACAGCTTAGCAGTAAAGCATATTACTAGCACAATGTACTAGGTTCAATCCCTAGTACCAAAAAAGAAAGAAGTTTGCTAAGTGTGGTGGTGGCACATTCCTTTAATACCAGCACTCATGAAACTGAGGTAGGTGGATTTGAGTTCCAGGCCAGCCAGAGCAACACAGAGAAACCCTGTCTTGGAAAAAAAACACGGGTTAAAATATTAAAGTAATGGTGTCAGTCAGGATTCAAATCCTAAGTTCTCTGAATATAAAGTTCTGCTAAACTCAAACAAAATAATCATTCGGTGTATGATGTTCAGAGATGAGGTTTTCTATATGTGAATGTAGTACATAGGAACTCTTTCCTAATGAAAACAACTTAATTCTACTATGTCTTGAAAAAAATGTACTTACTCTGTTTGATGAACTAGACACGACTGGAATTCTCATTTCACAACCTGATTTATGTGATCCACTATTTTTCCAGGATGATCCCCTGTTAGGTACCTCTGAATGGTTGGAGATCTGAGAGAACACAGGGGTTGGTTTCTTAGTTTCAGGTATATTTTTATCAGAGGCAGTTTGTTCGATGTTACTGTTTGAAGGAGAAGAAAGTAGGGGCCCATCGCAAGCAGAGTTATTGGGACTGACTTCTTCAGGTTCAGTGCTAGGTTTACTCTCATTAGGATGAATGTCATCTTCTCTTGTCTGTTCCCCAAGGGAGGCAGGTTTTTCCGTTTCTTTGGAGGAATCGATCTTGTCTTTATCAAGCACAGGATCACAAACTATTGGATTAAATGGTGCAACAACAGTTACTTTGATAAGGTTCTTTTCCAGTACAAAGTGTCTGTTTAATGATTTACTAGGAGCTGGTCCATGACCAACTGATGTATTTAGTTGAGGTAGTTTGAAGAACCCAGGGGTCTCAGATGCTGGTCCCAAGCTGTACAAAGAATTTTCTTGAGAAGTATCAGGTAGAATTCGAACCTTTCTCTCTCCATACTCATGCCCACCATCATCATCCTTCAGAAGCGTCTCAATCTCTTCCTCTGTGAAACTGAAATGGCCATCATCTTCTTCTCCATCAGAAAACTCCAACAAGGAGTCATCCAATTCATCTTCATCCAGGGAACCCCAAGAAAATGAGGCATTGTTTTTAGGCAAAAAAGAGGAAGCAGAAGACTGTTCAGAGGGCAATAGTGAGCACGTCATATCTGGAAAAATGAAAGTTTTGCTGAAGAATGAGAAATATCATAAAACAACTCCAACCAACTATGTATCTAGACGAGGCATCCTAGGATCACACATCCTACGCTTGCACTCTGATTTGTAATTTGAGAAATAATTAAAACGTTTAACCTTACCAGCATTATGAAAATAAATGTTTGAATAAGACACATTTTTTTTTTCCTGATCAAAATAGCAGAAATTAAGATGAATGATAAGCTGGGCTGGTCAGGCTACAGAGAAAAGCACTTACTACTAGTAAAGAACATAAGTTAATATACTATTTTGTGAAGAGGACATTGGCAATACCATCTCATCTACCAATCTCACTTCTGGAAATATCACGTATAACTACCGACTACAAATGCACATGGAAACGTACAAGGTTCTCCAAAGCATAGTATTTAAAATAGCAAAGTACTAGAAGCACCCAAATGTCTACCTCTAAGAGAAATGTCATTCAATATAATCACGAAACAGTCATGTCAAAAACATTTTTCTACTTAAAAACATATTTAAAGGAGATTTATATGCATTACCATGGAATTATTATAATATACAAGCAAAATAAATGTTTTGTGACATGTTTAGACATGAACTTTATACTTTTAAAATAGAAACATGTATGAAGGCTGGAGAGCTAGCTCAGAGGTGAAGAGTATTGGCTGCTCTTCCAGAGGTCCTGAGTTGAATTCCAGCAACCACATGGTGGCTCACAACCATCTATAGTGAGATCTGATGTCTTCTTCTGACTTGCAGATGTTCGTGCAGACGGAACATTGTATACATAATAAGTCTTTTAAAAAAATAAATATAAAAAAAATAAAACAGAAACATATACTACTTTCCAGTTCTGGGGACTGAACTGGGAGCCTCTACAAAAGCCCTCTAGACTGAATTACACCCCCAGACTATTTCTTACTTTTTAATTTTAGATAAGCTCCTACTAAGATGCCCAGACTGGACATAACTTGCTCTGTAGCACAACCAGGCCTTGAATTTGCAATCCTCCTGCCTCAGCCTCCACAGAAGCTGGGACTCCAGGTTTGTGACCCAATTTTTTTTAAATGAAAATGAAATCTTTTTAAAAAGGAAAAAAAGGTAGATAGATAAATGTTGCTGGGTATAGTGATACATGCCTTTTAATTCCAGCATGCAGGTAGTAAAAAAGGTGAATGTTATAGGTCAGCTAGAGCTATAGACAGTGAGACCCTGTTTCAAAAAAACAAAAAATTAAAAAAGATGTTTTCCGTACTGTGTAGAGCTGCTGCAGCAATCTCAGCCTTTGCCACGAGACCAAATGGAAAAAGGTGTCAACTCCTGCTGGCTGTTCCTTTCAGGAGACTTGTCAAAGTGATTGACTCCCACCTTCCTGCAGGCACAAAGAAAATTAAAGGATCTTCTCATCACTTTCAACTCCAATAATTACAAAGTCAACTGCATTATGCTTCAAGGTGTTCCATCTATTAATTTTAATCTTGATTTTTTTTTAAAAATACCAGCAAGTTGGATTATTGTCAGTGAAGAACACCAAAGAAAAATCTTTACAAGAAAAAAATTATGCAACTAAGAACTGGTTTAGTTCCTCCCAAGAACTGGCACTTTCTTAAGACCACTGTCTGTTTTAGCGGGGTAAATAAGGACTGGGAGTCCTAAGACCTGGTCCTGTCACCAACAAGCCCTAACCAATAGGATCTGTTTCCTTGTAAAATAGAAAAGTGTTGAAAAAGGAAGACTAGGCCATGTCAAAATTTTTACCAAATTCTAAAAGTTATGAGCACACCAAAAACAACCAACCCCATTCTCATTTTCAATATACATAAAACACAAAAAGTCAGCAACGATATAAACATAAAAATTGTTGATTATTACCAACTCAGGGTCAAGCGTCATCATCATTCTATTCCTTTTCTACTTGAATGTTTACTTTATAGTTAAAACCTAGTGTGGGGGTTAGGGATGTGGCTGAGTTGTTCAGTGCTTGCTCAGCACGCACAAAGGGGCTGGGATTACACGCACAAACCAATATACCTACTTTATGTGATACTGAGGATCCAGCGGAGGGCTTTGCTCATGCTAGACAAGTGCTTCCTTTTTGAGGTAGAGTCTCATGTAGTTCAGGCTGGCATCCAAATCACTATGCCTTCAACTCCTGAGCTGCCTTTCAAGTGCTAGGATTATAGGAATGTACCTCAACATTTGGCTTCCTTTATAGCTTTTTGTTGTTATTTGTTTGTACTTTTTATGAGACAAACAAGAAATAACAACAAAGCCATAAAGGAAGCCAAGTTTTTTTGTTTTGTTTCTTTTTCTCTGGGTAGCCCTTGTTATCCTGGAACTCTCTGTAGAACAGGATGGCCTTGAAATCACTGAGCTCCATCTGTCTCTGACACCCAAGTGCTGGAACTAAGGCATGCGTCCCCACTGCCTAGCCCTTTTCAGCTTTTTAAACTGTAAAATTCCCTTAACTTTACTACCCTCCATCCAAACCTTCATTTTCAGCTTGAATTCGTAAATTCCTTCAGCAGTAATTTTCTAAGCTACAATCATCAAGGAACTAAGCTACACAGTATGTTTCCATAATTTTTAAGAAATAAAGATATGGTTCCTCAACCTCCCAGAATATGTAATTTTTTTTTTTAATTTTTATTTTTTAGACAGGGTTTTCCTGTATAGCCCTGGCTGTCCTGAACCTTGCTTTGCAGACAAAGCTGTTCTCAAACTCAAGAGATCCATCTGCCTCTGACTTCCAAGTGCTAGGATTAAAGGTGTATACCATCATGCCTGGCAACTTGTTAGCAAGAAAACACCAAATATTAATTTCTAATATGAGAGGACATAAGAAGGAGGAGAGAACAAAGCACTAAAGAAAAAGGGGGGGGGAGGATACAGCATTTTATACTTATAGAGAATCTAGCTAACTCGGAAGTGTGATGGCCAGGCATGATGATGCATGCCTTTAATCCCAGCATTCAGGAGACAGGAAGACTCTGAGTTCAAGGTCAGCCTAATATTTAGTGACCCAAACAAAGCTATATAGTCTCAAAACATTCCCTGTATCAACAAACAAACAAGGTAAAATAAAATGAAAAAAAATGGTTAGGACAGAAAAGAAAAGGAAGTAATTTTTTGGCTCAGCAACTAAGCTATTTTATAGAGTAAAATAATCTTTTTTGGCAGCAGTAACAGTGCTTGGTTTTAGAAAAAGGGAGATTTTGTTTTTAAGTTTAAGAAACTTTATGCCAACACCAGTATAATTCTCCTACTTGGAAACCAGAATGGGCCACACAGCAAGGGTTATTAGCACCACCAAAAAAAAAAAATCCAATTTGTGATTTTTAAACACAAATATCACACACAGGCACTGAGCTCAAACAACTTCACTTCTTAGAAGCCATTTCTGGGCTACTGCCCCCTCATCCCAATCACTCCAAAAAATATATAGCTCAAGCACTCGCTTGGCCAAATGCAGTGTTCAGTAAGTTTTCATGGTGAGGCATAAAGTAACTAAGTTCGCTAGCTAAGAATGCTGGAACAAGAATCCAAACCAAAATCTATTTCAAAAGGCAATCTTTCTCTCTCTTTTTTCGGTAGACTTGCCTCCAAGGTCAGTTAGCAAATGGAAAAATTAGAATCCAAAACCTAGGCCTTCTATATTTCCTATGCTTGCTAATACACTATGGGGTATGTACATATTAAAGACAGATTTATATTACCTGGAAAAAAAATTTTTTTTTGACACAGGGTTTCTCTGTGTGTTGCCTTGACTGTCCTAGAACTCTCTTTGTAGACCAGGCTGGTCTTGAACTCAAAGAGATCAGCCTACCTCTGCTGTGATTAAAGGCATGCACTACCATGCTCAGCTTGGAAAAATAATTTAACCTACCTTAAAATGCATCAGAAGCTGCCCTAGGCCTCACAGATGTCACCCATTATTTAGGGACACAAAACTGGCTCTTTGGCACTCCCCTCACAATGTCCCAAATGGCAAAAGCATCTAATACAATCGTATACATATACACAGAAAGACAGAAATAAATTTTAACTCACACAAATCATTCTCTTTGCAACTTTAGTTCCAGAATTTCAAGAATTATTTTTAAATATAATTTAAAACATATTAAGTAAGCAGGCATGGTGGTGCATGTCTTTAATCCCAGAACTTGGGATTTAGAGATGGGCTCTGTGAATTTGAGGCCAGCCAAGGCTTCAGAGAGAGAGAAACCCTGTCTCAAACAAACCACAAAAATTATAAGCAACATAATGAATCTCCGAAGCTACTCAACTACCAACCCTACTGCTAATCTCCCTCTCCATCCTTCTCTCCTTTACTGGGCTATTTTGTAACAAATCTCAGGTATTACATCATTTTCTTTATAGATAAGAATTTTTTATCCTAAAATATCCTGCTCAGGGGCTGGCTACTCTTCTAGGGGACCTGGGTACACATTCCCAGCACCCACATGGTGGTTCACAAGTATTTGTAATTCTGGTTCCGGGAGATCCTACACACTCTGCTGATCTCTGCAGGTACTAGGCATACATGGTGCACAGAAATACATGTAGGCAAAATATCTATACACATAAATAAAATAGTAATTTAAACTCCTGTTCAAATTTCTAATTATCTTATTCATATTTTTCAGGCTTAGGAAAAAACAAATCATCTTTAAATAAGGCCCACAAAATGAAGTAGGCCGATATATCTTCCAAAGATTTCCTACCTTTTCCCCACTGCAATCATCAATTAAAGTTTCTTTGGCCAGGTGTGGTGGCACATGCCTTTAATCCCAGCACTCAAGGAGACAGAGGCAGGCAGATCAATGTGAGTTTGAGGCCAGCTTAGTCTACAAAGGAAGCTACACAGAGAAATTTTCTCAGAAAAAACAAACAAACAAAAACAAAACAAAGTTTCTATGCTGCCAGTCTGGTCTACAAAGTGAGTCCTGGACAACCAAAGCTACACAGAGAAGCCCTGTCTCAAAAAAAACAAATTAAAAAAAAAAATGAACATTTCTATGAACATATACACACATTACAAAATTATTTAAAAAAATATTCACAAGAATACAACCCACCAAATACAAGATAGCAAGAACTTCTGGTAGTAGCAAAAAACAGGAATGGTAAGGGGACATAGATAGCTTCAGTCTATCCGTAATGTTTTGGTTTCTTTGAGACAAGGTCTCATGTAGGCCAGGCTATCCTGAACTTGGCTATGTAGCTAAGACCAACTCTGATTCTCCTTTCTTGTTTGCCTCATAAGTCCTAGAACTACAGGAACCATACCTGGCCTTTTTTTTTTTTTTAATCAGTAACAAAAACCCCAAACAACTATGGCAATGGAAGACAACCCTGGACAGTAAGTACAACAGTAATTACTATCACGTTACCTTGTTTATTTTTTTATATTTTTGAAATATCTAATAAAAAATAATTTTAGGGGATGGCTAGATGGCTCAGTGAGTACAGTACTCACCACACAAGCCTGGAGATCTGAACTCAATCTCTAGTACCCATGTACAGATAGAAGGAAAGACTGGTTTTTCTCAGACATCCACTCTAACACCATGCACACACACAAAAACTCATAGCATACATATATATAAATTAATGTTTAAAAGTTTTGGTTTTGATCTTTTTTAGCCAGGGCCTCACTATCTATCCTTTGTTGGCTCGGTCTACATACTCACTATGTAGACCAGGCTGCCCTTAAAATTGTATGTGGGTATGACATACATCTTTAATCCCATCACTCAAGAGGCAGACAGGTGAACCTCTGTGAGTTCAATGCCAGTCTGGTCTACATTGTCAGTGCCATGCCAGCTACGGCAACAGAGTGAGACCCTGTCTCAAAAACCAAAACACACACACAAAAATTAAGTTATAAAGCCAGTGTAAAAGATACACCAAATACACCCTAAGTCTCAAATATTTCCTCCTATAAAATAGGAAACCTCAACACAGAGAAACCCTGTCTCGAAAAACAAACAAACAAACAAAAAACACTAAGGAGTAGCTATAGTTATCATTTCATCCCACCACCTACATCTCACCTAAAGAGTTTCAAGCACAGGAATCGTTAAAAAACAAAACAAAACAAACAAACAAACAAACAACAAAACACCTAAACTGGCAGAAAACTTCCCCCAGACCCACTTTGGAAATCTTTCAGTATGATCTACTTGGTGAAGCATTTAACCATACTATCATTGAACTAATTAAAGACCAGACTGGACGGATAACTGAAATATCAGGTAAATTCTTCAAATTAATGGCCCATGAAGTATCTTGTATTAGAGGCACTGGGCTAAAATCCAAAGATCTCAGCAATTCATTTGAAGTCTCTGGACTTCGATATAAATGACAACACTCATGTGAAAAAGGTAGACATAATGGGGCCCACTTAATCTGCATCCCCAGCTTTTAGAAGGGTAAGGCAAGGAGATAAGGAGTTCAAGGCTCCTGAGACTCTAATTCAAACTCCAAAGCACTATGGGTTACACATGAGAAGGGAGGTGTTTGAGACAGCGTAAATAATAATAATAATAATAATAATAATAATAATAATAATAATAATAATAAACACCCTGAAGCTCTTAAGTTCCACAATTACTGCTCTCTCATCACCTGCCTTTCTTGGCAATTGCCTGGCAAACCTTTCAAATATGGAGGCTTCTTTATTTTTATATTTTCAAATTCTCTTAATTCTGCTCCACATCTCTGTGTGACCCTATTCTGTCCTTCCATTTCTCTCACCTGTCCACCCCCTTCTTCACACTTTAGTGTGCCACCCCCTCTCTGTTCTCTAACCTCCTGGTTGCAACCTCAGAAACTGGTTCCTATCTATTTTTATCTTACCTCAAAAAACCTATTGCCTTGGAGCACAAAGCCTCATTCTATCCAGGACAGTAAAACTCCAGTCCCAGATGTACACTACACATTCTCTTTCAAGGCTCTAACGCCAAAACCATTACCAAACTGGGTCTGATATGCAGGGCCAAAAGCAAGAATCATTTTGCAAAGGGGACTTCTCATTGGCCTTTGATTTCCAACCTCTCCTAAACACAACTCACGTGAGGCACACAGCACACATACACAAAGCTATGACACCGAAATAAGCAACACCCCCCCCAAAAAAAATTTTTTTTTTCAACAAAGTGAGCTGAAATTATCAGAAAGAATTTTGCAATCCCCTCCGTGCTGACTCCCCCGTGGTAACTGCAAACATTGTAAAATGGAAAGAAAACCCGTATGGAAATCTCTGCTCTAAGTAACCATTCCCCAGACCTGGGTGCCAAGAATCCCACGCCGGCCCAGGGAGCATTTTTTTTTTTTCTAAACTGAAGCAACAGGTTCCTTCTGTAAGAACAGTGTAGTAAAAGCTTGGGGCTCCTCACAACCACACACACACACACATACACACACACACACCCGCACAAAACCAAAAAACAAAACTGGGGGTAGGCGGTGCACCACGTCCTCCTCTGGCGGCCCTCTCTCCAGGGCCTGTCCTGTCGCATTCCCCGCGGCCCCGGAGGAAAACGAGCGGGGGTGGCCCGGGGATGCCTTCCCAAGGCTCCCCGCCCGGCCTACCGGGGACCAGCGCCCGCCGCGCCCAGGGCCTTGGCCCCTCCCTCCTCCCACCTCGGGGAGCCGGGTCTCGCCTCCCCGCGGATAGCGGGAGAAGCGCGGGTGCCGTCCGCGCCCCTCCCCCGGGGGCGACCCGGGTCCCCGCCGGGCTCGGGCAGGGCGCTCGGCCTCCGGGGACAGACGCCGCCGCCGCGGCCGGGGGCGGCCCGTCCTCCCCCGCCCCGACGCGCCGCGCCGCGCCGAGCCCGCCATCCTCGCTCGCCCCTGGCGACACCCTCCCGCGGCGCGAGCGCGACCCCTTCCCCCCGCTCGCGGCCCGAGGACCTGTCAGCATCCCGGTCCCCGGCGGGGTGAGAGGGGCGTCACTCGCCCACGGCTGTGGAGGTGGGGGGCAGGGACAGCCTCCCCGCCCGCCATCACCTGAGGAGCCAGAACCAGCCCTTCCCTCAGCGACACGAGAGCCTCCCTGCTCCTCGCGGGGGGCAGGAGGATGTACGCCGGCCCCGGGGAGAAGCAACAGGCGCTCCCCGACCCCCGGCCTAGGCGACGGACGCCGACCCTCCGTCCCTCCCGCTCTTCACCTCCGGAAGCCGGGCCAAAGCCAGGGCGAACGGCTGCACCTCACTCCGCCCCCTGCGCCATTTTATCGCCCCCTTCACGACCTCCCCCACCCCGAGGCAACGGGGCCAACACCAGGGGGAGGGTAAGCAAACAGTGATTGGCAGGAAACCGCCCCGCCCCTGAGAGGGTTGCGTCCCGGGCAGCCTTCCCAACCCCGCCCCCCCAGCACCGCCCACCCTGTTGATGGCTCCGCCCCTTCCTGTTTCATCGAGCCTTTCGACGCTCTGCTGCTCCCGACTAGATGCCACTCCTGGGCGGAAGAGGATCTAGGCCTGGCAAGCGGAGCTACGAGCTCAGCTGATGCAACCTGAAGGGACTAGCGTGACAGTTCCCGGCACGCGGCGGCGGCGGCGAACGAGGAAAGGGCGCGGGTGCCAGCTAAGCGCGGGAAGCGGAGAGAGCGGAGCCATGGGGGATGCTCCAAGCCCAGAAGAGAAGCTGCACCTTATCACCCGGAACTTGCAGGTCAGGCCTTGGGGGTTGGAATGCGCCGTTGGATACTGAGGATTCAAGTCCAGTGATCCTGAGACCAACCCCGGGACCTAAGTGTATGAGGCTGCGGTCTCCGCTTCTGGGCGGTTCTAAGGCCCTCTCTGCTAGTTGGTCAGTAAGTGAGTCAAGCAGCCATTCCAGGGTGCAAAAGAAACTACAAAGGGCTCACCCTTTGTGTGCACTTCTCTCGTGCTGTAGCTGGAACTGGGAACCTCATTCCATCCATCCTATTATACGCCTGGCACATTGTTAGGCTATAGGGAGTGCTCCCAGAGTTCCTGTGGAGAGAATCGGACATTTAAAAGGACCCATGACCCAGACAACTAAAGATAAAGCAAATACTGAAAGTTCCTCTGACTGGAGTTCTATGACGGGCGAACTGAAAAGATGGCTCAAAGATTAAAGCTTGTATTGCTCTTGCCGAGAGGACCGGGTTTCAGTTCCCAGCACCCATGTCAGGCAGCTAGACACGGCCTGTATCAGGGGATCTGACGCCCTCTTCTGGCTTTCACGGGCACACACACACACATAAATCTTTTTAAAGAATAGGAAAGGTGTCCTCTGAGGAAGTGTTTTTCCAAACTGTGCCCAACAGCCTGTGTGTCTGCCCGTCACTGCTCAGGTGCTTCTGTTGTCAGGAACTACAAAGCAGGGGTTAACCGGAAAAATGCTGAGAAGTGCATTTCAGACAGACAGAAGTCCCAAGCGGAGAGAGGATATTGTGGGCCAGAGAGAAGGCTAGGCGTGTAGCTCAGTGGTAAAGCGACTGTGAGGCCTTGTGCTCAGTCTCCAGGGCCCTCACAACTCACGCATCCTTACTCCAAGAAGCCTGATTTATCTGGAGTAGAGGAGGCAGAGTGCCACTGAGACATCATAGTGTTCATTAGCTCACCTTCCGAGGAACGCCTTTCTCGAGCACTTTTAACAAACTCCCTGCCAGCAAAACTGTTTCCATCCCGGCTCTTCCCTTGTCTCTGATGTTCCTCCACAGCATTTATCACTGTCGTTGGACCTGTTCATTTAGGAGAGACAGGCAGGAACCAAGTCGTGAGGGCCTTGTAAACTTTTTTTACAAGCCAGATAGACTGGATTAGAATTATGCTAAGGGTAGTTGCACCACTAACCTGTTTTTTTTGTTTTTTTTTTTTTTTTTCCTTTTAAAAAATTTATTTACCATTCCTGGCTGGTATGTGCTACCTATAATTTCATCCACCTGGGAGGCAGAGACAGGAGGATCACTGCAACTTGGAGGCCAGCTTGGTTTACACAGTAAATTCCTGGCTAGCTAGGACTGAATATGGAGACTGTCACTGAGAACATTCACCTTTTTAAAGGATACAATTTAGTCAATTTTTGTATATCCACAAGGTTGAGGTTCTAGAACATCTTTATTGCCCCCAGAAAAATGTGAACCAACCTGAGCATGGTGCCACATGCCTGTAATCCCAGGACTTGGGAGGTAGAAGCAAGAGGGTCGGGAAGTCAAGGCCACTTTCAGTGACAAAGCTGAATTCAAGGTCAGCTTGGGCTGTGTGTCCTCAACGAAAAAAGAAAAGAAAAATAAAAACTTGTTCCATTAGCTATCCTTGTCCATTACCTAACCCTAAGGAAGTTCTAATCTACTTTCTGTCCCTAAGTATATCCCTCCTCAAAGTATATAGCTCTCCTGGACAGTTCGGATGACTACAATCCTATAACATGTGCCCACTGGTATCTGCTTCTTTCACAGACTAGCGCTACACAAACTCAACTGTGTTTTTGTTTTTGTTTCATTTCATTCCTCATATTTTCTTTTCACTCCCTTCCCACGTTGCCTCCTATTTTTCTGCCCCTAAATCCTCCCTCTAATCACTCTTCTCTCCTTTTCTTTTATAGCCTCCTCACTTGCACTCATTTCCTTTTCTAGTTCCTCTTCCTTTCCCTCATATTCTCTCCTACCCTCTTCCTTCTCCTCTTTCCACATTCTCTCCCTTACCCCCACCCACCCCCAAGTCCCTTCCAGTCATCCCACTGGCCTATTCTGATCTTTGCTCTCTTCCAGGAAACTGCTTCTCTTGTGGGAAAGGGCACTGGTGTGTGGAAGAGAATTAGAGGGAAACAGAAACCCAGAGAGTAAGATGTCCTGAAGGCAGAGAGCTGGAACAGGCAGTACCTAGACTCTTAAGGAGACAGAAACATGGACACCTAGACCATAAGCAGCAGATGTCTCTGCTCTTTGTTTTAAAAAAGAAAATGAAGTGCAAGAAAGTGAGGAGGCTGTAAGGAAAAGCCCAGGCTGGAGAGATGGCTTGGTGGGTAAGAGCACTTGCTGCTCTTGTAGAAGACCCGTGTTCAATTCTCAGCACTCATCAGGTGTCTTACAGAGACTTAAAAAACTCCAGTTCTAAGGGATCTAATGCCTCTGGCTTCTCCAGGCACCAGCACTCATGTACCCACACACAGATACACATAATTAAAAATAAAATAAATCTTTAAAAATAAAAGAAAATGACATCTACCACCAGCTACCAAGCTCAGGTCAGATTCTGGGAGCCTGGGAGCCTTTTGTCTCTCCTCTCTTAGGCCTGCACCTGGGGCTAACAGTAGTTGGGGTTGCTCTACCCTCAAAATAGGTTCACATACAAATCTACAGTCTGCTTTCCTCTTTCCTTTTTTGGTTTTTCGAGACAGAGTTTCTCAGTGTAGCCCATGCTGGCCTCGAACTAGCAGATCCATCTGCTTCCTGAGTGTTGGGATTACAGGTGTGCGCCAGCAGGCCTCGCTTCCTCCTTCCTTTTTTGAGGCCAACTAACCACTCCATTATGTGAGCATACCACATTGTGTTTATCCACTCACTGACTGGTGACACTGGAGTTGTTCTGTTTTGTTTGTTTGTTTTGTTTCATTTAGGACAGAGCCTGCATCAATGGCCAAATTAAGGAATTAAAGAAAGGTACGGCTTCTTAGAGTAGTTTAGACCAAGAAAGAAGCCACAATTTGACTTCTCTCCTTCTCCCTGTGTCTTCAATCTGTCTAGCTTATGGTCTGTGGCCTGTCTGTCCTCTTTCTGGTATGTATCTGATGGCTGTTCCTGTTGCCTGTCTCTAACAAAGGGCTTTATTCTGTGTTTACTGAACAGCACAGAAATATGGCATAGGAAGGGAGTGAGGGACACTTTTCTACAGAGATCTTTAGCAGGTTTACAAAAGAAGCTACTTCATTGACCCGGAACACTGTTCCAAACCTCACACAGGTGTTTTTCAACCTATAGCCATGTGTGGATGCAACATTTATGGGGGGTTTGTTGCTTTCAGCTTGTTCGCTGCCTTTAGTAAATGACTGCCCCCCCCCCCCCCACAGTTTTGTGTCAGGGGCGAGGGAGAGTATAAAACTTAAGAATAAAGCTTTGGCCAGGCGGGGTGGCCCATGCCTGTACTCTCAGCATAGAGGCCAGTAGATCTCTGAGTTTGAGGCCAGCCTAGTCTACAAAGCGAATCCAGCACAACCAAGGCTACACAGAGAAATTTAAAACAAAAGTAAAGCTCTGCATTTAGTTTGGGTCATAAAATCTGACTGCATGGGGAATCCAAGGCAGTTGCATTGGTCTCTTAAAGATGGATTAGACTTACAGAGCCTGAGTACACAGTTGGACAGCAGACTGAATGCCCGGTTTTTAATAGTCTCAAGGCATTTTAACTCCGCTGCCAGGTCTGAAAAAGTTCTGTCTGTTTGAGAATAGGCAGAATTTCCAGAAGCAGATGTCGCTACATGGTGTGTGCCTTGCCACCATGCCTGGTTTTATGCAGTGCTGAGAATCTAACTCAGGCTTTCTCTGTGTTAGGCAAGCACTCTGCCACCTGAGCCACGTCTCCAGCCGGGTTTAAGACTTACAAAAGCCAGGCGGTGGTGGCTCCCAGCACTTGGGAGGCAGGGGGAAGGCGGATCTCTATGAATTTCAGGCTAGCCTGGTCCACAGACTGAGTTCCAGGACAGCCAGAGCTACACAGAGAAACCCTGTCTCGAAAAACTAAAACAAAAACAAAACCAGAACTTGCAAAGCCGTATAATAATGTATACCTGTAATGCTTTAAAGCAACCAAAGGGAATACTTTGAGCAGAATGTAGAATTAGGGACTAGACATGATATAGCTGAACTGATAAAAACTTGCCTAGTGTGACAAAGCAGGGCCGTGAGGCACTCAGTAGTTAGAATGTCCCCTCGAGATCTGCCTTTCCAATATGCTTGGTTTATTCAGACGAGCATTCCTTACAATGCCATGCTGTTAAACATTACGGTAGTTGCTTGTAAACAGATACCTCACCATTAGGCGAACGGTAGGGCAGGAAATACTGAGGCCTCCACTGGACTCCCATGAGGTTACTTCAGGAGCAAGCTTGACCTGAGCCCTTCAGCTGTGACAGGCTCGGAGCATGGCATTGTTGGAAGTTCCAGAAGGTCCTTTAGAGCTTCAGCCATCAGCTAGGGCTGACGGGGCCATGTGTGAACTCAGCAGTGATGCGAGAAACTCAATGGTGCCTGGAGCCATAGTTACACAGTGGACATTCTCAGAGCCACCTTGTCTGTGGAGGTGAGCGCAGAGGGTGTTTTGAGAGCATAGTGATGCAATCCTGGGACCCGCCGTCTGGTTTCAGGTTTTGTTTTGCTTTTTAAGATTTATGTCTGTATGTATGTGGGTGGGTGGCGTTTTGTCTGCGTGTATGCCTGCACACCAAAAGAAGGCATCCGATCTCATGGGACTACAGTTGTCGACAGTTGTGAGCCACCATGTGGGAATTGAACCCAGGACCTCTGGAAGAGTAGCCAGTACTCTTAACCACTGAGCCACCTCTCCTGCCCTAGTTTCAGTTATTAAACGCTTTCGGTGTGTCAGCCAATGACTTAAAAGGCTCACTATTTAAACATAACTGTTTTTCTGTTAACAGTAAAAGCTTTATGTTCACATTGTTTGTAAATATTTTTCTCCTTTCACAACAACATCCTTTAAGTCAAAATATGTTATATTCGTTCTGTCAAAACAAATTCTTAGTTCAAAACAACATGTCATGTTTTCAACATAGTTTCCAGGTTACAAAAAATGGTTTCACCCACCTTAGCATACACAAAGCTCTAGGTTTGATGCCCAACGAGGCATGGTGAGGCACTACATGCCTGTAATCTTAGTGCGCAGGAGGTAGAGGCAAAAGGATCATCAGTTTGAGACCTTAGGTTACACAAGACCCTGTCTCAAAACAAAACCAAAAAAAAAAAGGATGTGGAATCAGAAAAGAATTGCAGGTATTTAATAACTGAAAGAACAGTAACAAAGATGTCTGAGCAGAAAGAGAAGAAGGAAACTATGAGAGTAAGGAAGCCAAAAGAAGAGTGTGTTTTAGGCAAGACTAAATGGGGTTCATTAGCTGCCTCGGGGCTCCTCCATGACCGATAAAGAGTATGTAGCTCACACATACACATGAAATTTAGAAGGAAAAAAAATTTTGTTGAGGTGGCTACAAAAGGAAGGGGAGACTAGAGGTAACTGAGGGGATTGTGCCTTCGTTCAGTGATCCTTCCTGGAAGAGACACCAGCAGCAAGCAGCAGGACTAGCTTAGGTTTGCTCTCAGCACTGGGAACATGTTTGGACTCCAGTGACATTTACCCACAGGCTCTGAGCGTGGACCCCAAGAAACACAGGGCTCTGTTTTCAGGGTAAAGGGTGAGCAAGGTTGGGGAACGGCATTAAGCTGCTCTTCTGCTTCCACGACAGGAGGTTCTAGGAGAAGAGAAGCTGAAGGAGATCCTGAAGGAGCGGGAACTGAAGGTTTACTGGGGCACAGCCACTACCGGGAAACCGCATGTGGCTTACTTCGTACCCATGTCTAAGATTGCTGACTTCTTGAAAGCAGGGTGTGAGGTGAGAGCCCATGCTGTGAACCAAGCAGTGGTTGTCGTCATTAAATGACCCAAAGAGGGACTTAATGGGGGTGGGGCAGGAAGTGGGCGCTGAGTACTAGGCAAGTACTAATTTCCTTGGCCTCTTGCTGTTTCTGTCCAGGTGACCATTCTGTTTGCGGACCTCCATGCGTACCTGGACAACATGAAAGCTCCCTGGGAACTTCTGGAACTTCGCACCAGTTATTATGAGAACGTGATCAAGGCAATGCTGGAGAGCATTGGTGTACCGCTGGAGAAACTCAAGTTTATCAAAGGCACCGACTACCAGCTCAGCAAGTAAGCGCTTGATCGCTCCTGGTAGGTCTGCTGCACCTTGCTAATTACAAGGCTGTGGAGTCCAGGCACTCCCTAAATTTGGGTTGGAAGCTACTTGATGCTACCTGTTATGGACCATTAAACAGTTTATGCCTTTTGTCGGTTTAATCCACCCAACAAAAATGTATTGGCTTGGAAACACCTAGGTACTGTTCTGTTTGCTGCAGATATAAATGTAAACCTAACAAAGATTCAGCCTTGGAGCCCACAGCCGTGGGAGAGAGATGGGAAACACCCAGCTTCCTTTCACTTTCAGCCTCATCAAATAGTGATAAAAGAAATGAGAGGAGGGTCTTTGCCTTCTTCCAGCAGTTTTTATTGTGGTGTTACATGAAGATGCTATGTTGTCCCTTCTTGGCAACAGTTTTTATTGTGATGGTCCATAAGATGTTATGCCAGCTTATGTCAGGGACAGATTTGGCCATTTGTGGCTTTTAGCATAGAGGGACTATCCTGAGATACCAGAGGCTGTCTGTACCTTAAAATAACTGCTGTCATGTACACAGCATTGCTTGTAAGAGTCTTCTTTTTTTTCTTATAAGATTTGTTTGTTTATTCATTCATTCATTCATTCATTCATTCATTCATTTATGAGTGCTCTATCCATGTATGCCCGCAGGCCAGAAGAGGGCATCAGATCCTAGCATAGATGATTGTAAGCCACCTGTGGTTGTTGGGAATTGAACTCAGGACCTTTGGAGGAGTAGGCAGTGCTCTTAACTGCTGAGCCATCTCTCCAGCCCCTGTGAGAGTCCATTTACAGACGTAAATGTTAAGTGTTAAGATATGTTCTACACGCCTTTAATACCAGCGCTCAGGAGGTAGAGGTAGGAGGATCTCTGCATTCGAGGCCAGCTTGGTCTACAGAGTGAGTTTCCAGCAGGCTCTCTGAAGTTGTAGAGATGGCTCGGTGGTTAAGAGCACATGTTCCTCTTGCAGAAGACTTAGGTTCAATTTGCAGCGTCTACAACCATCTGATTAAGGAATCTGATGCCCTTTTCTGACCTTTGTGCACCAGATACACATGTAGTACACATATGTACATACATTCAGGCAAAACACTCAGACACATTAAAAACTATTAATAAAACGTTTAAAAAAGAAAAACTGAGGCCAGAGAAATCTGCACTTAAGAGCAATTGCTATTCTTCAGCAATTAAAAGGACAAGACTTAAGCCCGGCATGGTGGTGCATGGCTCTAATCCCACCACTTGGATTAGAAAGCAGGAGGCTGTCCATGAGTTCAAAGCCAGCTTGGTCTACAAAGCAAGTTCCAAGCCTTCCAGAGCTACATAGTGAGACCCAATTCTCAAATAAACAAACAACTTAATTTTAAAATATGGATTATTAAATAAATAATCAAAACTTTCTGAAATTCAAGAGCACACACTTGCCATTTTTAAAGCCCTGGGTAAAATTCCCAGCAACCAAATTTCAAATTAAGGACCATGTTGGAAGGACCCTGCTGTTTGAGGTTGTACTCTTCTCAGTCCAGGTAGCCTTTCTGAGCTCAGTGCTAGATGGAGGACTCCCTCTCCCCAGCTAGGCCTCCTACTCTCTGCCTGACCTCATCTGGAGAGTGTCTTTAGGCATAGATGCCTCTAACCACATCTATTATCTGGCCTTTGACACCGCTCCCTGCTAGCTTTCCGTCCCTGTTATCTGCGTCTATAGGATAATTAGGTACTGTGTTCCCATTCATGTGATAGAAGCATGCTGCCAAGTGCAAATCAAGCATCCCTGGATGCCTAGTTCCAACCAATTCTGTACACCTATCCTGGGAGTCCCCCCCCACCTCCCCTAGGGCTACATGGCCTTTTTCTCCCTGAATAAACTTGAACTATCTCCTTGAAGTGGTTCCCAGAGGTCATATCCCTCGTACTTGAGGTCTTCTGAGCCCTGCGCCCCATCTCTGCTCCTCCTGCCCTTGTTAGCTGGTGGCCAGCAACCCTCAAGGGAATAGGAGCCCCACACTCCACTACATCAGAAGTAAAATTAAAAATTATCAAGACTCAGGCTGCAGTGTAATTCTGTTTTGACGTAAATCCTTAGCATACACTCATGCGCACAAGCCACAAATGGCCAAAATAATTATGTAAACAACTGGCCAAAGAATATCTAGTATTTCAAAAATTATAGATGAGTGGGGCATAGTGGCGCACTCAGAGGCAGGCTCACCTGTATGAGTTTGAGATTAGTCTGATCTACATAGTTCTAGGATAGCCAGGGCTACCTAGTGAAAGCCTGTCTCAAAAACTAGATAAATATGAATTACAGTCAATTTTATTTTAATTGAGACAGTCTAATGAAAAAAAAAGAAAAAAGTTTCAGTTGGACATTTCTTAGAATTCTCACGGAAAAAAAAAATAATAATAGCCCCTGGTTGTTATTCAAAGAAAAGGAGATTAAAATCCTAGTAAAAAAAATCACAGCGTAGTCACTAGATGGGCAAAATTTTTAAATAGCAAAATTAGGTAATAAAATTGATTTAAAAAAAATTACGTTGGGAAATGGTTTGGCATTATCCTACAGTTTGAGATGGCAATCCCTACGGTCCCAGGAATCCGGCCACCTAGAGAGAAACGTGCCTACATACACCTGCATAGGCACACTATTTACAGGCCCAGTGCAAAGCTGGGAAGCAGCAACAGGCTCAAGCAAGGGTTCCTCTAGAGAAGGCCGCAGCGTACAGAATCGGGGGACACGCAGACGTGATTATTAGTCATTTTCCTCAAGTTGTCGGACAGGTGCTGCTCTCTGTATTTTTTGTTGCTTTATCAGTTTTAGGTTTATTTTACGTATATGAGTGTTTTGTCTGCATGCAAACGTGCATGTCCCTTGCATGCCTGGTGCCCACAGAAGTCAGAAGAGGCCGTCAGTGCCCAGAACTGGAGTCATGGATGATTGTGAGCCACCATATAGGCACTGGGAACTGGATCCAGGTCCTCTTCAAGAACAAGTGCTCATAACCACTGAGCCATCTCTATAGCCAGTCCATTATTCCTCACATATACTTTAAAAAAAAATTTTTTTAAGGTCTGGAAGAAATATTGGGAAATTGCAGTATTTATTCATTAGAAATTCCAGAAGAGAAAAGGGGGTGGAAAAGATGGAGTGCATCATGAGATGATAACAGAACACTTTTCAGAAGCAAAAGGAGAAATAGAAACCTAAAGTAGTAGCTTGGATGGATGGGTGGGTCTCATGTCGTAGAAGCCACATGAAGGCGCTGTCTCCTAAGGGTGCGGGAGTGAAGTAATGTGAGGACTGAACACAAAGGCCTCCCTTACATCTATCTGCTCCCTTTCTTGTTCAGAGAGTACACGCTGGATGTGTACCGACTGTCCTCTGTGGTCACACAACATGATGCCAAGAAAGCCGGGGCTGAGGTGGTGAAGCAGGTGGAGCACCCTTTACTGAGCGGTCTGCTGTACCCTGGACTGCAGGTACGAGAGGCCGGGGCACCCCGGCGCCCTCTCTGCACTCTCGCTTGCTTGTTTTTTCTTTTCTTTCTGCCTTTTTAAATTTTTTTCAGATTTACTTATTTTTATGTGTATCACTATTGTGCCTACGTGACCGTCTATGTGAGGGTGTTGGATCCCCTGGAACTGGAGTTACAGACAGTTGTGAGTGCCATGTGGGTGTAGGGAATTGAACCTGGGTCCTCTGGAAGAGCACCCAGGACTCTTAACCCTGAACCATCTCTCCAGGCCTCTGCACTGTTTGGAAGGACTGACACAAGACGGCCTGGGCACTGACTGTGCCCGAGTACTTACTCTTCAGGTAGCACAATGCCTTTTTTCCTGGCTCTTCTCCTTCCTGGATGCTTCAGTTATAAGGCCCTATCTCTCCCATTTCCTTTCTGTTCTTTAAGACTCTCCATTGTGAGTTCAAGGTAGCCTAGGTTACATAGCCAGAGTCTGTTGCAAAAAAAGAAGGAGGAGGAGGAGAAGCAGAAGCAGAATCAGAAGAAGAGGAGGAGGAGGAGGAGGAGGAGGAGGAGGAGGAGGAGGAAGAAGAAGAAGAAGCAGCAGCAGCAGCAGCAGCAGCAGCAGCAGCAGCAACAGCAGCAGATGGATCTCTGAATTCAACTCGAGCCTAGTTTATGTAGTGAGTTCCTGGATAGCCAGAGCTACATTCTTTTTTGAGAAAAAAAGAAAATTAAGGGTTTCATATATGGTAGAATGCCTAGCCTTTGATCCTTAGCACTACAAGGAGGGAAAACTTGATTAAAATTTTAGATGGGCAAGGCGGGACAGCTTTAGTAGCCTCAGCTACTAAAGAAACTAAGGCATCCGGGTGTGGAGGCACACACCTTTAACCCCAGCACTCAGGAGGCAGAGGCAGTTACAGTTCTGTGAGTTCTAGGGCAGCCAGGGCTACATAGAGAGGCGCTGTCTCAAATAAACAACCAAAACAAACAAGAAAATAAGACTGGAGAATCTCTTAAGCCTAGGCTTCCAGGCTAGTCTGGGCAACATAATGAGCAAAATTGTAATGCATGTGGCTCAGTTGACTGGGTGTTTGCCTTGCTTTCACGGGGCTGTGAGTTTGATCTCTAGCACCATATAGAAAAGTGGACATCTGCACACATGCTCACACTGTGCCTAATCTGAGCACCAGAAAGGTAGAGAGAAGCAGGGGGTCATGAGTTCAAGGTGATGAAGCCAGTCTGGGCTCCAAGAGAAATTAATCTTCATCCTCTCCCAGTGTTTGGCTCTTTTGAGATAATGTCACGACATGGACTTCTGCCTGGCCTCAACTCGGGCTCTGCCTCCAGAGTACTAAGATAATTGATGTGTGCCACCATACCCAAGCCTTTCTGGGTTTTTCCAGACTGAGTTTCTCTCTGTAATAGACCTGGCTGGCCTTGAACTCACAGAGCTCTGCCTCCCTGAGTGCTGGGATTAAAGGTTGCACCACCATGCCCTTCCTGCCAGGCACCACAGAAAGGTCACTTAAAGGTGCTCATCTAGATCTTCACTCAACCTTCCTTTATCTTCCCTCTTTCTTCCTCGCAACCGTCACCTCAGTGGGAACTAAACATTACCAATTCTGCTTTTTAAATTTAGGTCTGGGAAGACGGTTCAGTGCATAAGGTGATTGCTGCTCCAGACCCCCAGCACCCATATTAAAAAAAAAAAAAAAAAAGCATGTGTGGGAGCCTGCCTATAATCCCAGCCTGTGGAAGGCAGACAGGGAGTCCCCAGGCCAGCTGACTGTGGATCCCACCAAAGGAGAGTAAAGACCACCGAATTAAGTGAGCTTTATTTTCTGTCAGACAGGGTTGTCTCCTAAAGCTGCATTTGAAAGAATAGCAAACACAGGAGGAATGGGTTTTCTTTGCCTTTTTTGTTTGTTTTTTTATTTAAAATTTAACATATTTATTATGTAGACAATGTTCTGTCTGCATGTACACCTGCACGCCAGAAGAGGACACCAGATCTCATTATAGATGGTTATGAGCCACCATGTGGTTGCTGGGAATTGAACTCAGGACCTCTAGAAGAGCAGCCTGTGCTCTTAACCTCTGAGCCATCTCTCCAGCCCAAGAAATGGGTTTTTTACAGCCCCCAAACTGCAAGGCTAGAGGACTGCCAAGGGTTTTTGATTTCATAGGAACTTGGCAGAATATCTGAAAATTATTTAGTAAAACATCTTCTCAAGGTAGAGGTCAGGGTATGGTGTATGAACCGTGAAATTCCAGAAAATGGGTCAAGACTTACAGAAAACAGCAATGAACCTATTTTGACCTTGTAACAAGATGGCTTCTAATCTTAAGATGGAGACAGGTTGGTCTAACCAGCAAGCCCAGCCAAGTTAGTGAGCTCCAAATTCAGTGAGAGATGCTGCTGCAGTGGGGAGCAACAGAGGCAGACACCTGGTGCCCATCTCTGGCCTCCACGTGTATGTGCGTGCACACATATCAACTCCTAAACTTACTCTTTTTTATGTGCATTGATGTTTTTTTCTGTATGTATGTCTGTGTAAGGGTGTCATATCCCCTGGAACTATAGTTACAGACATTGTGAGCTGCCATGCTGGAATTGAACCCGGGTCCTCTGGAAGAGCAGCCAGTGGGACTGGAGAAATGGCTTAGAGGTTAAGAGCACTGACTGCTCTTCCAGAGGTCATGAGTTCAATTCCCAGCAACCACATGGTGGCCCCTGTAATGTGATCTGATGCTCTCTTCTGGCATGCAGGTACATATACAGATAGAGTACTCATATATGTAAAATAACATAGGCTTCTGGTCCATTCCCTGGCCCTGTCTATAACTGGTCTCTTTCTTCAGTGCTGGTCACATTTTTCCTTAAAACTGCCCACTGACAGGACAATATTAAGGCACTCTAGTATAACATTCGTGGTCTTACCACTTTATTATTATTATTATTATTATTATTATTATTATTATTATTATTATTACTATTTATTTTTGAGACAGGTTCTCACTTTGTAGCCTCGGCTGGGCTAGAATTCATTGTGTGCAACAGGCTGGCCTTGAACTCACAGAGATCCACCCAACTGCCTCCCAGCATTAGGGTTAAAGGTGTATACCACCAGCAGCGGCTATTTTAGTTTTGAGACAAAGTCTTTGTGGTTCTGTCTGGATTAGAACTATATAGAGTAGGCTGGCCTTGAACTCATGGGGATAGGCCTGCCTCTGCTTCTCTAGTACTGAGATTGCAGTCACAAGCCACCATATCTGGCCATTACCTCCATGTCTAACCTCTGCGCTCACCATGCCTTCCATCTCCTGAAGCTTGCTTTCCCAGGTTGACTCACTTGCATTTTCCTAAACACTTCGCACCTCTCATGCCTTCTCATATATTTCCTCTGTGTAATCGAAAACCTCTAGATATTCTTAAACCAAACCACGATCTGATTCTAGGAAGACTTCCCCACACCCAGCTGACTAGACCACAGAATCATTTCTTTCTCGGATTGGCCCTGATCCTGACGTGAGCATGTAGTTAGCCCTTACATGCTGTGCTGAAATAATCTGTTTACGGGTCTGTCCCCAAGCAGATAATTGAGCTTCTTGCAGGGAGGATGTGGGTGTGATTCATCCCTGAATCCACAGGGCCGGCACCAGGCCCAGCAAGTAAGGAGTGATAAACACTGTTCCGTCAGTAGTCCTGGTTTACTGGTTTTGGCTTTGGGCTTTTGGTTTGGTTTGGTTTTGGTTGGTATTGGGGAAAAGAGGGACAGTTGATCTGCAGTTCACCTTGTAGCATAGATTGGTCTAAAACTCATCGCAATCTTTGTGTCTCAGCCTCTTGACTGCTGGGATTGTAGGTAGGTGTCACCCCATGCCTCCAAAGTATCAAACAATAGAAAGGCTCTGAATACTTGGCCAGCAAGATGCCTCAGAAAATAAAGCACTGGCCACCTAGCCTTGAACCTGACTTCATCTCCCAAAACCCACATGGTGAAAGGAGAACATCAACTCCTGCAAGTTGCAGAAGAGCCTTGGGCCTCCTGAGTGAAGAACCTGCTTTGCCTTTTATCTAAGTTGTCATAAGCCTTTTTGTTTATTTTGGGGTTTTGTGCTCAGGCCTGAATCCAGGACCTTATATAAGTTAAGCATATGCTCTTACCACTCTCTTACACACCCAACTCTGGGAGTCTTTTTTTCTTTTCTTTTTTTTTTTTTTTTTTTTTAATTCCAGTGTCTTAGTTTTAAGCCCATGTCATCCAGGCTGGCCTTAAACTTGCGACCTCAGGACAACCTCCTGCTTCTACCTCCCAAGTGCAGGTACTGGCAGGCTGGCAGGAGTTACTGTTTTCTGCCAGTTCTTTGATGTGACCCAGGTTGCCTTATTCAGTGGGGGACCTTTTGGCATCACTCCCTCCCCACTGAGTTGGGCTAGGTGCATCCTGAGAGCAGAGCCTACTCCATATGCTATAATGTTCACAGACATGCTCAGCAGCTGTTTCTGAGCCACCAGGAAGGCTCTGTGTTATTTTTCTCCCTCCTGGCTCTACCCTGTGAAAAATCATGAGATTCTAAATTTTCTGTCTCAGACCCACAGGGGACAAAGATAGTGGGTGTTTATGTTCACATGTTTCTTTCCACAGGCTTTAGATGAAGAGTACTTAAAAGTAGATGCCCAGTTTGGCGGGGTTGATCAGAGGAAGATTTTTACCTTTGCAGAGAAGGTGAGTGTCCACTTCTTTCATGCCTCTGGGATGCACAGCTGAAGGTGACTCAACTCTAATGTGCAGTCGCACTGGTCATAATCGCACTGGCCAGTGGGTGTCATTGTTCTGCAGATGAGAAAACAATGTCTGGGAGGAGGCAGGCATAACTGAGCCAGGTCTGTCTGCCCCAGCAGCCCACGCTCTCTGGGTACCTACCCCAGAATGCTGCTTCAGAACTTGCTGGATTTGATTCATTCTTTTCCTATTAGTCAGGAGTGCTGTTCTCCAGAGCATTTGGCTTGCACTGCCTTGAGTTTTGTAGACTGCTGGTTTCGGAAATGAGGTTTACCAGTGTTTAGGAGGAAATTAGCACAAGCACATAATAATTCTTTTCCTGGAAAGAGCTTGAATACATTGAGAAGGCTATGGTTGTATTTTTGGTTTCTTTCTTTTTTTTTTTTTTCCTTAGCGTTTATGGGTATTTCGTTTGTATATATGTCTGTGCACAGGAAGGTAGAAGAGGGTGTCAGATCCCCTGGGCCTGAACCCAGGTCTTGTAGAAGAGCAGCCAGTGTTGTTAACCACTGAGCCATCTCTCCAGCCTCTGTAGTTGGTGATTTTTCAAAGCTTCTCAAAACCTGAAATTGGCAAGGTGTAAAGAAAACAACTCAAGCAGAAATATAAATTCTTGGAATACTTTGACAACTCTAAAGTGTCTATCCTTTGGCCTAATAAATTCTGTTCCTGGAAGCCTGCCCTAAGAAAATAAGAAGAGGTAAATAAAGCTTGAGTTGTGTGTGAGAGCACTTACCACACTCTTAATTTAAAGCAGATATTTAGAAGTAAGCATGCCCAGCAACAAAGAACTAGAAAATGTTATGAGGCTGAAGAAATGGTTAGTGGGTAATATGCTTGCTTTGCAAACAGGCGAAGCTGTTTGAACAACCACCACACACTTAAAACACTTCCTTCTCACGGCATGTGTCTGTAGTAACAATCTACGAAAGGCAAAGACCCATGGACCTCGGGGCTCACTAGTCAGCTAGTGTAGTCAAAGCCAAAACATGGAGCTCGTGGTCAGTGAGAAACCCTGTCTCAAAAAAACAAGGTGGAGCCAGGCACAGTGGGGGACCTGTAGTCCCAGCTCTGGGAGAGGCAGAGGCAGGCAGATCTCTGTCAGTTCAAGGCCAGCCTAGTCTACAAAGCAAGTCCAAGACAGCCAAGGCCACACAGAGAAACCCTTTTTCAAATAATAAGGTGGGAAAGCAATTGAAGAAGGCATCCAGTGTCGACCTCTGGCCTTTATACCTACCCACACTGGTGAGCACACCCTCATAGAATAATGCTCATGCATGCCCTCACACACTACATTAAAGTCTTTTTCAGATTTATTTAAAGAGAAGGAAAATGTGCACAATATTTTCTTGCGTAGGGTGGCATCCTTTGTTTTTTTTAGGGGGAGGAGGAGTTGAAGCAGGATGTTACTATGTAACCTTAGATGGCCAGAACTCCCTTTATGGACTACATCAGCCTTACAATTACAGAGGTCCTCCTACCTCTGCCTCTGCCTGTGGAGTGCTGGGATTAAAGGTATACGGTATATGTCACCCTACCTGGCATAACAGGTTGGTTTTTCTAAAATAGGATCTCTAGGCTAGCCTCTAGCTTGCTGTGTAACCAAGGATGAACTTGATCGCTTCTACCTCCCAAAAACTCAGACTGTAGGTATGTATCCCCATGTCCAGTTTATGAGGTCTAATATCTGCTGTTGTTTTGTTGTTAACTCTAGTACCTCCCTGCCCTTGGCTACTCAAAACGGGTCCATCTGATGAATCCCATGGTCCCAGGGTTAACTGGGAGCAAAATGAGCTCCTCAGAAGAGGTAAGTTGCTAACCATTTCTTTAAATTGTTACATTTTTTTTTTGTTTTGTGTGTGGGTGTGTGTTTGTATGAATGTCTGTGCATCCTTTTCCCAATGGGGCACTTCACCAGGCCAAAGATTATGTTGCTCCTTTCCCTTTTATTTAGTACTGGGGATTGAACCTAGGGCCACTGACAGGTCATTCAAGTACCCTTCCACAGCTACACCCCCAGACCACAATCTATGTATGTATGTATGTATGTATGTATGTATTTGGTTGGTTGGTTGTTTATTTATTTGGTTGGTTTCAAGGCAGGGTTGCTCTGTGTAGCTTTGGCTGTCCTGGAACTCACTCTGTAGACCAGGCTGGCCTCAAACCCAGAGATCCGCCTGCCTCTGCCTCCGCAGTGCTGGGATTAAAGGCGTGCACCACCACTGCCCAGCCACTTTTATTTTTTTACATTTATTTATTTGTTTGTGTGTATATGTGTGGGCCAACCCTTGCCATGGTCCATGTGAATTGGCTCCCTCCTCCCATGTGGGGGCCAGGGATTGAACTCAAGTCATCAGACTTGGTAAGGAAGCACTTTTACCCACTGAGCCATCTTGTTGGCCCCACACAACCATTTCTTCAATCTACAAAACAGTAACATAGCTAACTGGAGAGTCTGAATGTCTGTGCTGTAAGGACACACGACCTTACGTTATCTAGTAGATCACCAGCCAGAGTGCTCCCGACAGGGTCCATCTTGTTAACGGTGCTGCTGATGACCTCAATGAGTGGACTGCATTCCTTCCTTCATGGGGCTGTGATAAAGTTCAGCCCTACTGCCCTGGGCTTGGTGATGACACTTATGTCAGCACTCTGGGGGCTGGGCCAGGAAGCTAGAAAGTACAAGTCAACCTTGGTGGCAGGCACCTTTACCTGTTGAGACATCTCACCAGCACTGGCTTCAAACTGTTAAAGAGTGGTGTGCCATCTCACATAACTAAAATCTTTATTTAAAGTGTTTTCTTTTCCCGATCAGTGATGGCACACGCCTTTAATCTCAGCACTTGGGAGGAAGAGGCAGGCAGATCTCTGAATTCAGGCCAGCCTGGTCTACAAAGCGAGTCCAGAACAGTGAAGGCTACACAGAGAAACCCTGTCTCAAAAACAAACAGACAAAAATCTTTTAAGAATGTACATGGATGGGACTGCTGGACAGATGGCTCAATTGTTAAGAACACTGGCTGTTCTTATAAAGGTCCTGAGTTCAATTCCCAGCACCCACATGGTAGCTTATAACCAACCATCTATAGTGAGAGCTGGTGCCCTCTTCTGCCCTGCAGACACACATGCAGGCAGATTGCTGTATAAACAATAAATGAATAAATCTTTTTTTAAAAAAAAGGAATGTATATGGGGCTAGAGAGATAGTTCAGTGGTTAAAAGCACTTGCTGTTCTTGCAGAGGATCCAGGTTCAGTTCCCAGCACCCACATCAAGTGGCTCAAAACCACTTATAACTCCAGTTCTAGGGGATCCAATATCCTCTTCTGACCCCTGTAGGCACCTGCATGCATGTGGTAAAAATGTAAATACATTCAGGTATACACATATACACATTTTTCTTATAATGGGTGGATGGATGGATGGGAAGGTAGTTGTAGCTGAGTTGGGAGAATGCTCACCCAGCATACCTGAAGCCCTGGGTTTGACCCAACACAGCATAGAGTAGGCCTAGTAGTACATACCTGTAATTCTAGTGCTGAGGAGGGAAAGGCTGGACGATCAGTCCAAGAACATCCTCAGCTACATAGCAAGTTTGATGCCAGCTTGAGTTACATGAGACCCTAGCTCAAAAGAAAACAAAAAGTATAATCCATGAGAGAAAAGATGGATACATTTGACTTCATTAAAATATGCTTTTAAAAATTATATAATGTGTGTATATTAAAATTAGTTGAGTGTGTGCCAGGCGCAGAGGTGCACAGCCGGTAATCCCAGCACTCAGGGAGGCAGAGGCAGGCAGATCTCTGTGAGTTCAAGGCCAGCCTGGTCTAAAAAGTAAGTCCAGGTCAGACAAGGCTACACAGAGAAACCCAGTCTAAAATTTGAGAAAAAAAGAAAAAGGGAAAAAAAAAAAAAGGTTGGGTGTGTTCTCATTTCCAACCACAAGAGGTCTCTTCCCTCACAACTTCTAGGAGTCCAAAATTGACCTCCTTGACCGGAAGGAAGATGTGAAGAAAAAGCTGAAGAAGGCCTTCTGTGAGCCAGGCAACGTGGAAAACAACGGGGTTCTGTCCTTTATCAAGCATGTGCTCTTTCCTCTCAAGTCCGGTAAGAGTCTCCCTGCGTGGTTCTCAGGGGCCAGGCTAAGATCCACGTTCCTGCTGTGACTGCCTAAAACTGTCACAGGTTCTTTCTGCCAGGACTGGCTACCCTAAATCTCTGCCTGAGTTCACATAGGCAGTGTGTTGGGAGGCTGGGCCATCCTTTAGCTGTCTGTGAGTTCACTACCAGGGAAGGTTCTTCAGGTTGCAGAGATGTGTCCGAAATGAGAGTGGAGCCAGACAGTTGAGCTAGAAAACAAAAGAGTTCTAAGCAGTGATTTCACTGGATACAGTGTGTCTGCTTAGCCAAGTAACAGAAAGGCTCAGTTATAGAGAACATGTTTAAGATGAATCAGATCCTAGGTTTAGTCCAGCACCAAAAAATAAAAAAATTAAATGCCAGGGCTGACGAGATGACTCAGCTGGTAAAAGCAAAATGCTTTAAATGTGATACACAGCAAAAACTCTTCAGACATGCACTGGGTCAGGGAGCAGTGCGCCTGAGGTGGCTGATTTGTTTGTTGGTATGTTGTAGAGTTTGTGATCCTGAGAGATGAGAAGTGGGGTGGAAACAAAACCTACACCGTGTACCCGGAGCTGGAAAAGGACTTTGCTGCTGAGGTAATACTAGAGAAAAATGAATATCCACTGAAGCCTAGCAGCCCTCTCCCTCCTGGCTGCCAGTCTGCAGTGAAGGAGCCACAGGGCTCTGTCTGATACCCTCCAAGGCTGTTTTGTTAATGACTTAGATGGGGATTCAAATAATTTATTAAGTAGGTGGGCAAGGGCCGGAGAGATGGCTCAGAAGTTAAGAGCACCAGCTGCCCTTCCAGAAGTCTTGAGTTCAATTCCCAGCAACCATATGGTGGCTCACAACCATCTAAAATGAAACCTGGTGCCTTCTTCTGGCATGCAGGTGTACATGCAAATATACATTGTATAAATAATATATAAATAAACCTTTAAAAAATTTAAAAAAAAAGTATGTGGGCAAATGGTACATACTAAAATATTCGTCCTCATCACTCGCCAAAGGGCTAGATGCATTGCAATAAAGGACAGTTCTCCATGCCTGCACTCGTGGGCACATACCCACACCCAGACACTTTTATACACATAGTTTAAGGGTTTGTTTGTTTGTTTTTGTTTTTTAATTTTTAATTTAAAAAAAGAAGAAAAGGGCATGTTTGGCCAGAAAGGAAGTATATGTTCTGTCTTTAGGTAGAAGAAGAGCTAGGTTTTCTTCTCATGATCCAGAGGGCTGATGCAAGACTATGGATTGGGAGAGAAGGGCTGGAGAGATAGTTCAGTGGTTAAGAGCACTTACTGCTCTTGCAGAGAACTGGGGTTCAGTTACCAGCACCCACCAGGCAGCTCACAGCTACCTGCAACTCCAGCTCCAGAGACTCTGATGCCTTCTGACAAGAAGAGGACGTAAAAAAATAGATGTAGCTTTTAAAAACTGAAAAAGATTTATATACATATCTTGGATTTTTTTTTTTTTTTTCATATATTGGGTTTTTAAGACAGGGTCTCTCTATGTAGTCCTGGCTAGCCTGGAACTCACAGAGATCCACATGCTGCTACCTGCCCCCCTACCCAACCCCCAGTGATGGGATGAAAGGTGGCACCAGCATGACCCGGCTCAGAGAAACTCTCTAATAATCCCAGTAGTTGGTGAAGGTGGGCTGCCTCACTCCACTCTGCGTTCCCTTCCCTTAGAGGTGTGGGATGAGGCGCTGACAACCACTTGGAGGCAGGGCTGGATGTGGTGGGTTGAGGGGCAGCCGGAGGAGACTCTGAAGTCTGGACACCCACGTGGCCCATTAGGGATGTCTGTCAACACTGCGCTGAAACCCTTGTCTGCTGTCTGAGTCAGGCCCCAGAACCCACACCCCTGAGAGCACTTTGTAGGAACGCTGAGCAGAGTTAGACTTTCTGGGGAAAGTGTGCAGGCACACATTCCCACAGTGCTTGCCACAGAGGAACTTCAAGTGGGGTTTGCATGTGTGCTTTCTATCTTCTCTGCCTGGACAGACATGTCCCTGGCGACAGGTGGCCAGGAAGCACTTATGCTGAGGATACACATCCGATGAGCTGAATCTTAATTTCCTTCAGAGTAGCAGCAGGACTAAAGCTTTCCTGCAAGGTTAACTACTCCCGAGGAAATGAAGTACCATCAGAAACGGAAATGCTGTCATTAATCATAGTGATCATGCCTAAGGATGCTCCTTTAGAATAGCTAAGGCCTTCCAGGCTAGATTTAGGTAGAAAAAGGTAACTAGAGGACACAGATAAAATATTTTGTTTCTGAACCACAGGTTAAATGAATATCCCTTATCCAAAATCCAGAAATTAAAACAGAAAAACAAAAATTCAGGACAGCCAGGGCTACACAGAGAAACCCTGTCTAAACAAAAAAAAAAAAAAAAAAAAAAAAGCAAGAAGTGGTTTACATTTCACAATTCTTCAGAACTGAGAATATTTACACACATATTTGGGGTATGTGACCAAAGACTAAATACAGTTCATTGTTTCATACACACTTTACACACCTGGAGGTAGCTTTGTAGAACATTTTTGGTGTGCCTGCATTTTTAAAGTTCTTTTTGTTTTGTTTGGATTTGGATTGTGTTTTGTTTTGTTTGTGTTTGACACAGGATTTTTCTGTATGGCCATGGCTGTCTTGGAACTCACTGTAGACCAGGCTGGCTTCAAACTCACAGAGATCCACCTGCCTCTGTCTCCTGCCATTAAAAGTGTGTGCTACCACTGCCCAGCAAGGAGTTTCTTTCGTTCTTTTCTTTTTGGGGGGAAGGGGAGGTGCATGCATGTTTTGCCTTCAAGTATGTATATATGTATATCACAAGCATACTTCATGCCGCTGAAATTAGAAGAGGATGTAGGATCCTCTGGAATTGGAGTTTTGGATGGTTGTAATTCACCAGGGGAGTGCTAGGAACTGAACCCAGGTCCTCTGCAGAGCAGCAAGTGCTCTTTTAACCACTGAGCCATCTCTCCAACCTTTATGTGCTTGTGCTTTGACTGTTGCATTTCATATAAGGCCCTGTGTGGAATGTGTCTTGCTATCATACTGATGCTCAGACTTTGCAGCATTTCAGACCAGCCATGTACGAGAGGGATGCTCAGCTGTTCTGTTCCAGCGCCACTCTCCATTGCCACCATGTTGTGTGACTCAGTGCTTATTCTGACTCAGATATACCTGCTCTCATCCTCGTTTTTATTTATTAGTAGTATCCAGTTTTTGTTTGGTGAGTCTTGCACCATAACCTAAGCTGGCCTCCAACTAAGCAACCTCTCTGTGCCGGCTTCTTGAGGGTTGAGACTACAGGTGTGAATAGTCTTGTGCCCAGCCTGTTGGTCTCATTTTGTAAGTAAACCAAGACTGGGCTGAAGATGTAGTTCACTGGCAGAAAGCCAGCCTAGCATGTGTGACACACTGGGTTCCCTCCCCAGTATGGAAAGAAGGAAAGAGAAATACAGGAAGAAAAGGAAAAAAAAAGAGAAGTAGTGAAAGTCATCGTTGTCAAAACTTATAAAATGGTTACATGTCCAATTATACTGCTAACCAGTGCTTTAATCCTTGTATGTCTAACTGAGTCTTTAGGCCTAGGATTACCCATGTGAACATTTCCCTGTGACTAACATTTGGTTTATGCCTCAAAGCATAACTAGCAGAATCAGAATAGTGAGGACATTCTGCCTAAAAAAGCCCTTAAACTAGAACAGAACTCTAAGTCAAAAGATCTGGATCAGGCTGAGTGCTGGGGCGAGCATTTGTAATTCCAGCATTCGTGGAGCTGAGCAGAAAGATGGTAACCCAGGCTCACTGTATAGTGAGACCTGCCTGAGAGACAGATAGGCAGGCCCCAGGCTGTGAGACCAGTCATTCTCTGTCCTACCTTGTCTCGTAAGAGGGCTGTGAGGCTCAAGACTGCTGGGAACATGCCTCTGTCTCCCACGTCACCTTTTTATAGGCTCTGTTGCCCGGACCCCCCTCACTAGATCTTGTTTCCTTCTGCAGGTTGTACACCCTGGAGACCTAAAGAATTCTGTTGAAGTTGCCCTGAACAAGTTGCTGGACCCCATTCGGGAAAAGTTTAATACCCCAGCCCTGAAGAAGCTGGCCAGTGCTGCCTACCCAGATCTTTCAAAGCAGAGTAAGGCAGCTGGGAAAAGAGCCTGGAACAGTACCTAAGTCATTTAGACTCGGTTTGGCTGACACTGTGAATTGCTCACATGCTGTCACACCAACACTGCTAAAAGCCTAGTGGAGACTGCACTTAGAACTTCTAGTCTGTGTTCTTTCAACCTGCCTCTTGGGTTTAGTGAACTTGACTGCGGTCACAGCGGCAGTCTGTTCCCAGCTGCCTAGGCTTCCTGAAAAACACTCAACAGCCTCCCAGCTCCTGTCTCTGTACTCTGCCTTGTGAGTTGGCCATCCGGTTACTCACGATGCCGAGGTACTGCCATAGATACCTTGTGTGACCCATCCAGAAGAGACTCAGCAAATCCTGCACAAGTAGAAATACCCAAAGGTAGCCCTGCCTTCCAGCCTAATAATGAAGGCATGGAGGGAAACCTAGCATCCATCTCTTCTGCAGGGTGGCTAAGCTTGTGTGAAAGTAGGACTCGGTGGGTGGGTTCTGGGATTCTCTCCTAAATCCTACCAAGTTTTAGTCTTCTCATCTGGTGCAGTCAGTACTGGCCTGCCACTGGGATTGGGGAGGAGGAGAGTCTGACTCTATAGAGTTCTTCTCGTTCCCAGAGCCCACTGCCAAAGGCCCTGCCAAGAATTCAGAACCAGAGGAAGTCATCCCGTCCCGGCTGGATATCCGTGTGGGCAGAGTCCTCAGCGTGGAGAAGGTGCTCAGTCTTCCCCACATCCCAAAGGGACAGAGAAAGGCGAGGCTTTTGTTTCCATGTGGAGGAAACCTAGCTGGAGAGGGGAGCCGCATCCCTAGGGTCAAAGTGCAAGTCAGAGCCCAGGTGTCTAATTGCAGGCAGCCTCTGACCTCATACAACACAGCCAGGAACCTGGAGAGGTTCCTGGAGAGAGACACATGCCTGTAATCAAGTGGAAAGAGACTATTCGCCAAGCATTTGATCTACTCCACTGTACTATCTCCCATTTGTTTATTTGTATATCGGTGTTAGGGGGGAATATTCGTGCCACTGTGTGGAGGTTAGAGAACTCATTCTCTTCTTCCATTTGGGATCTGAGGATCTAACTCAAGGCGGTCAGGCTTAGCAGCAAGTACCTGTCCCATCCCCGTGCCCCCCCCCCCCGTACCCTCTGACAAGAATCTCTTGCTGTCAGCACCCAGATGCAGATAGTCTGTATGTGGAGAAGATTGATGTGGGAGAAGCTGAACCCAGGACTGTGGTGAGCGGCCTCGTACAGTTTGTGCCCAAGGAAGAACTACAGGACAGGCTGGTGGTGGTGCTGTGCAATCTGAAACCCCAGAAGATGAGAGGAGTGGACTCCCAGGGCATGCTACTGTGTGCTTCTGTGTGAGTGAGGATTTGGTGGGCCAGGACCAGGGGACGTCCACAGTGAGGAACTGGCCTAGGTGATGCCCTACTGTATGCCACGTGGGAGCCCTAAGTTCTTAAAATGAAAGTAGGTGGGTAGTGGGAATAGTGGCGCATGCCTTCAATCCCTGTGCGTAGGAGGCAAAGGCAGGGCTGGTCTACATAGTGAGACCCTGCTTTGAAAAACAATTGTTGGGCAGTGGTAGTGAACACCTTTAATTCCAGTACTCAGCAGCAAAGGCAGGCAGATCTCTGAGTTGGAGGCCAGCCTGGTCTGCAGAGCGAGTTTCAGGAAAGCCAGGGCAGACAAAAGCGGAGGAGTCTCCTGGTTTACATCTCGGGTTCCAGGCCAGCCTGAGCTACACAGTGAGACTGTCTCACCAAGTAAAAGGATGGAGGTCAGATACAGCTCAGTTGGTAGAGCTCATGCTTAGCTGGCAGGAAGCAGGGGTTTGATCTCTAGCCCCTCAGAAAAGTGAGCATGGTAATCCACACATAGACTCAGCACTGAGGAAGTAGCAGCAGGAGAATCAGTTCAGCTACAAAACAAGTTCAGGGTTAGCCTGGGCAACATGAGACACTCCAAACACACACAACTAAAGGTGTCTCCCTACTAACAAGAGGCGGGGCCCGGATCGCTGCCGCAGACCCAGATACAACCCCAGGAAAAAAGGAATTTAATATAGTCCTGGTTTAAAGGTTCAGGGATGTGGAGAAGTGACGGGGACCTCTGGGCTATGGCACTGAGGGTATCCTAAATCCCTTTGAGGCCCAGATCACTTTGACGTTCACAGCTGTCAGGACATCCATCCTCTTGCCTTTTCTTCTGTTGTCTTCCAGAGAAGGGGTGAGCCGCCAGGTTGAACCTCTGGACCCTCCTGCAGGCTCTGCTCCTGGTGAGCGAGTGTTTGTAAAGGGCTACGAGAAGGGCCACCCAGATGAGGAGCTCAAGCCCAAGAAGAAAGTCTTTGAGAAGCTACAGGTAAAGTGCTACTGTCCTTGTCGCCCCGGTTGCGCCAGTGTGGGGTCACTGAATCGGCAGTGGCCTGACTCAGTTGAGACTCCCCGCATTAACCTCTGTCCTCATTTAAATAGGAGTGCAAGGAGCTTAGCGTCCCAGAAGGACCCTGCATGTGCTGAGTACTGACAGGAAGCACTGAGTGAGGGACTTGAGACACTTCCTTGTCCATTTGCTCCACACTCTCAGAAAGCAGCAGGTGGAAGGTTAGCCCCATTGTACCTGGCAAAATGCCTGCTGAGACATTTGGGGTCACCAGACATGACAGAGCTAATATCAGGGGTAGCAAAGGGCTTAGGCTTTGGCCCTGCATACCACAGCAAATGAATGAATGAAAGGAAGTAGATTCCATCCTACCCATCTTGAATTTACTCATGCACTCATGCATGTGTTTTTCTCAGTAAATATCAAGTCCAGAATATGTGTCAGGCAGTGTTCTGCATGCCTGGACTACACCAGCCTAACAAATTGGCTCTCATCATGGAATAAACATTGCAGAAACTGTCTTAAATACAAAAATGAAGGGAATATCTATACTCCTGCTGGGTATGTTGGTGCCTCTAAGTAAGTCCAGTACTTAAGAGGCAGAGAGGTAAAGCCGGGCAAGCTGGCGCACGCCTGTAATCACAGCACTCGGGGGGCAGAGGCAGGTGGATCTCAGTTCGAGGCCAGCCTACATAGAGAAACCGTGTCTCTAAAAACAAAAAACAAACAAAAAAAGAGGCAGAGCTAAGGGGCTAGAGAGATGGCTCAGCAGTTGGGACCACTGGCTGCTCTCCCAGCAGACCCAGGTTAGGTTCCTCGTACCCGCATGCCAGCTCACAGCTGTCTGTAGCTTCAGTTCCAGGCAATTCAACCCCATCACATGGACATGCATGTGAGCAAAATACCAGTGCACATAGAATGAAAAATCAATTTTAGAAAATGTATTTCATTAAAAAAAAAAAAAAAAAAGGCAAAGGTAAGAGGACTTAGGTAAGGTCCAGGCAGCCAGGGCTACAGAGTGAGACCCTGTCTCAAAGCCAAACACTGGCATGTGTATTAGTCCTCAAAACTACTAAAATAATCCTTGGTTCCTTCTGGTCTTTTGCTGGATAGGGGGCATGTGTGTTAGTCTGCTTTTTATGACCAAAAACAAAAAGTTTCCTGATATTAAATATTGAGAAGGGTTGCATTATAGTACACCGTACTCACTATGAGCCTGCTGGAACCAGCTTGGGGCACACTGAGGAGCAGAGCGTTCACATGTATATATCAAACAAGACCCTAGGCTTGATCCCTAGCATCACACGTTCGCACACCGGTGCTGCAGTGGGTATCGGCAGCATAGAGGGCTTTGCACTTCTTCATAGAAGCGTGCTTATCAGAAGATAAGAACACGGAAGAACCCTGGAGGAGCTGTGCTCAGAAGCTGGGGCACAGCCTGGGTGTGCTGACACACACCTTAATCCCAGCACTCAGGAGCAGGAGCAGGCTGATCTTTGTGAGTTTTGAGGCCAGCCTGGTCTACATAATGAGTTCCAGAACAGCCAGGACTACTCAGGGAGACCCTGCCTCAAAAACCAAAAATGAAAAAAAAAAAAAGTTGGGCCAGCTTATGCTGATAATGTAAGACTATTGTGTCCCACTGTTGTGACTTCTTTTTTGTGTCTTGTCCAGGCTGACTTTAAAATTTCTGAGGAGTGCATTGCTCAGTGGAAGCAAACCAACTTCATGACCAAACTGGGGTTCATCTCATGCAAGTCACTAAAAGGGGGTAACATTAGCTAGCTGGCCCAGCAGCCTCCTCCTGCCATCCTACCTGCTCACCTTGTTACATCCATCACTCATTCCCATCCCAGGGCACTGATGCACCAGGTCTGGACTGCTGATTAGATGTGAAACTTGGTGAGGCACAGCTCACCACCTACTGTCTGGGATCACCCCGCCTGGCCAAAAGGAACCTGACTGCCTGGGGTAAGGACAGCTGCCCAGCAGCAGACTGGCTGTACCTTCTTCCCTTGGCAGCTGACTGAAGAAATCTGGTTTCAATAGAACCCATAGAAAGAGTTTACTCCACCGTCCTTATAATTGGAAAAACACCAGTTCCCAAGTTTCCATGGGGTTATCTCCGCAGCTGTACCTCTAGCCCAGAGCTAGTGCCTGGTCTAGGCTAATTACAGCTTCTCCCCAACAGGAAATTGTGGGATTTGAAAAGAAGGAAAAAGAGAACCTAGAGGTCTCTGGAGCTTCCCCAGGCTGGCAGCATTCTCAAGGCCTGCCTACCCTGAGGCTTGGCACCAGTGGCAGGAACTGCCCCAGCTCTTGGGCTTTCCCTTGATCTGGCTAGGTTGGCACACTCCCTAAATAAACCAGCTGTGTGTTAGCAGCAGGATGGAAATGGACTGACACAGTGTGCCACTTTCTTCAGAATGTGAGATACCCCATAAGGCACCTCGAGCAGATCACTAGCCACCACTGTCAAATTCAAATAAAGTGTCTGAACAAGGGTTTCTGGATGAAGTTTTGTGAATAATGCCGTCTTAGTAAGAGTGTGGAGAGCTGCTGGGCTCATCTAACCTGCAATCACTGACTTTAGCCATATAATGGGAAAGGACAGGCTGGGACAAAGAACACATCCTGAGTTCCCCCTTGGTCAGTACTAAGAGCCACTCTAGGCTCCATACTTGCAGCAGGTAGGACACCACCTCTTCTGACTGGGCCCAGAGCACTGACTGTCCTGTCCTACCACGGCCAGATCTTGTGGTTCATTAGCCTTGGGTTAGGTTCATGCTAGCGTGAGGTGTGCATTCAAACCTTGTTGCCATGTATTACCAGGTGTCACCTGTTGTCAGTATCTGGAAAACAGCAGTCACAGCCAAGTTTCAATCATTTAATTAATACCTTTTAATGAAACACAACTTTGTCGTGTGTCTCTCTCAAGCTTCAGAGGAGAAGGAACATGGGAAGGATTGTTTATATAGACATATCAAAGACTCAAAAATTTAAGGAAATATATATATATTTCTCTCTTCTAACATTTTTATGCAAATTAAAAATCAGAGGCTTTTGGTTTCTCCATTTGCACAAGGTCAAGATTATTTACCCCAGTGGATGAGATGTTGCCACTCTTAGACTCTCCTTTCTTGTACTCTGGCCCACCCAGTAGGGAAGCAAGCAGAGAAGATCCTATCAGGACAAGAGCTCCAGTAACACTGGAGGAGGAAAGACTAGGCCACTGCTTCCCCAGCCCAGCAGCGATCGGGGCCTGGTTTCCTGGGGCTTCGACCAGTCCTGGCTCCTGGGGCAGAACAGTGGGTACTTTGATTGTCCTCCCTTCCCACCTCACGTGGCAGTAACGTCCACCCAGCAGCAGCTCCCTATCACACACTGGACAAGGGACAGACAGGACAGACAAGCAACCCTAGCAAGAGGGTTAGGGAACCTGGATCTCACCCCACCTCCCCAGTTCTGGACAGGAAAATCAGAAGCGGGGAGGAGTGCGTCACTCTCCTCTTGGTAGAGAGGAAGCTAACAGACAAGATTCTTGCCAGGCTCAAGCCCCTGCTGAGAAAGCTTCAAGGGGTGGCCCTGAAGGAGGCACGGCCATTGGAGCGGACAGGGACTCCAGCTTACCTACAGAGGTGGTACAGGCTGAAAACAAGTCACTACATTCCAGGCGGAGAGATCAGGGGCACAGGCTGCTATCTGGGACAGCCACCCCCCTACTCGCAAGAACCACTGGGTATCCCCCTTTTGGACTAGGGAGAAATCCGGGTAACACAGGCCCTTGGCTTCCCATCCTTGCCACTCAGCCTCAGCTCCCTCCACCTGGCTGAAAGGCAGCTACAGAAAGGGCATGCACCAAAGAGTAGAGACAGGTCAGAGAAAGAACCTGAGGGACAGGCCTGGGCCCACAGCCCAGAAAGTCCCTGCCAGACTCTCCCCCTACCTAGGCAGTATTCCCTGCCAAGCTGAAATGGACACACCCCATGAGCTCCTGGCTCTGCACTGTGCCCATCCACTCAAACCCAATCAAGTGTCACAGGACAGGTGCCCAGCATGTGAAGATTCCAGATGGCTCCCTGCTCTGGTCTGGTTTTTGGTTTCTTAGTGCACAGTACCCGCAGGCCTACTCTGGCTCTTCCTGTCCTCATCCTTGAGTCCCCTCTAAGGAGCACCTGACAGAGCTGGAAGGCAGGAGAGTGGTTGGTGGTAAGTTGAGGCACAGGAAGGCTAGAGCCCACTGTGCCTTTTGTGCTTTGCAATTCCACAGCCCCCCTCCCACCACCAGCCTAGAAAGCCTGTGGAGATGACTGACTTGTCCATCTCCAAGAACTAAGGGAAAGGAGCGGCCTGGACTGGCAGAGTGGACAGACTGGTCCCAGCTGGGGGCTGGCTACCGAGGACTGGTGCTGCCACTATGTAAACGGGCTCTTGGAATGTGGTTTCATGAGCCCTGGAGGATGGGCATGCAGCCACTCTGCAAAGTGCTTTGATTCTGGACTACAATAAACACGGTTCCAGACATGAAACAAAATAAACATGAGCTCTGCTCCCACCTCCATGGCCTTGGGGCCTGGGTGGGGGGTGGGGCACAGCCACCCACTCCCACCAGCTACCTCTGAGATGAGGCTAAGGCCAAGGCTGAAAGGCTGCTGGAGGTGAATCCTTTCAGGAAAAGGCATGAGGGAGGGGTAACTTGGAGGATGGGCAACACCAGTCTTGCATACACATGGAAGGCTGTGGAGATTAAGGCCGCAGGCATCCTGTCTTAGATTGAGTCTGCCAGGTCCTCTCTTCCTTGGAGCTGCTCGGGTCCCTGAGAGATTGTATCCCTGGGATGGGTCAGCAGTGCCAGCTAAGTGACGGTCAGACCAGTTTCCTCTGTGGATCTGTGAGGAAAGGACATTCAGCAAACCTGTGTGGTTCCAAGAAACCCAAGACACATCCTCAATCAACCTTTCCATACCCCCCCCCACTTCATTGACCCTTAATGGATGTGCTGTCTCTGCCCCATTTTACAGCCAAGATGGGAGATGATGTGACAAAACTAGAAATAGACTCAGTTCGGCTGCCAGAGTGTTTGTGTTCAATCTATGCCTCCCTGCTCTGATTCCTATCGCTAGTTTGAAGAGTCACCTAGACGTCTCAAAAGCACAACCGTTCTATAGATCCAAGACCATACCCCCAATGGTGGACCCTCAGAGAACTGATTTTGCATCAGTGCCTACAGTACCTGAACCAGGGGGACCCATCTTCTCTGTACCAGCCAGCTGCACACCTCCATTCTCTGCCAGCTCCTCCTTAGTCCTGTCCTCGCCATGAGGGAGCCCATTGGTGGATGGAGCAGTAAGAGACTCGGCCCTGGGAAAACTGGGGGAAGGAGGGGGGACTCCCACAGAAGGTTTGCGGGCCACAGGTGGCGGAGCCCTGGAAGGCTTCTTCTGGGCCTGGGTTGGCCGCTGCTCTGAAATGCTCCTAAGTTCAGCTACCAGATTCCGCTGGAGGTCAGCCTGGGCCTCCGGGGACACGGGCCGCTCAAGCTGCAGTTTTTTGGTGCCCTTGGAGAAGATGAAGCTGGCCTTGGAAGCAGGAGACTGTGGAGACGGTGAAGACCGTGGCTCTGCCTCTGGTGGTCCAGTGGACAGAACATTTCCAGGGTTCTCACTGGCAGCCAAGCTGGAGGCTTTGAGTCGGACGGCGGCATGGAGCCCAGAGGAGGGCGCAGACACTGGGCTGGCCCGCCCAGACAGGGCTCTTCGCAGCGGCTTCTGGGGGGCTGATGAACCTGGAGGCGGACTTGGAACCCCTGAGGAAGCACCCACAGAGCGAAGCCGTACCATCTGCAGAAGCGAGGGTGTGACCAGGGGGGTGCCAGCATCCTCCCTGGGAGCCCCACTGTTCTTGGCCATACAGTCCTTCTGAGGGAGCTTGGCCAGAGACTCTGAAACAGAGCTAGCTGGAGGTGGAGCGGGTGGAGCTGGTGGAGTCCCCGGTGGAGGGGTTTGGGATGGGCTAGCAGCTGAGGAGGTGACGCCCACAGAGCTGCAGGGCTCCAGAGGGCCAGGCTCAGGGCCAGGGAAGAAGACCTCCTCGGGTGGGGGAAAGTCAGCCATGGACAGGTCCTGGTCCTCAGGTGCGGGAGGTGGCGGCGGTGGCCAGCTGGGATCTGGAAGGGGCTCCTCAGCAGTCTCTGGAGGAGGTGGGACCTCCTCAAGCACCTCCAGCTTCTTAGTAGGTGGTGGGGGTGGATGGTAAGATGGAGGTGGGGATGGTGGGGGTGACTGGTCTTTAGAGGCAATGGGGGGCTCCTGGGGTGGAGTCAGGGTTGTCTGAGGCATGGAAGGGGATGCAGGACCGGTGTCAAGGGTAGAAACTGGCCCAGGAGCTGCAGCAGGGGCAGCCAGGGCAGGGGCAGCCTGGTTAGAGCTCTTAGACTTGGAAGGTGGTGGGGAGAAAGGAGCGGGCACCTTAGGATGAGGAGGTATGACAAACCTGTCACCCAGGGGGGTGGACATCTGTGGACCTGAGCGGTCTGAGGGAGTAGGGTCTGAGGAAGAGGAACACAGAGATGTGAGGGAAGAGGACACAGAGGCCCCAGGGGATCTAAGGGATGTCACTCGACCTGGTTTGGGGGCTTGAGCCTTGCCTGGGGAAGCAGGGGCACCTGCTAGACCCTTGGGAGGGAGAGTTGGGGTACCACTTTGGCTTGAGTATCCACTGGAAGGTGAAAGTGTCCGTTCTGGGGACCGTGGGGGACGCCTGGAGCCGCCTGGAGACAAGCCAGAGCCCCAGGTGCCTGCTGAGCTGGGTGGACAAGATACCGCCCCCTCCCCTGAAGAGCCGCCTGTGGTGGGCGGCCTGGGCAGCTGTGGCTGCGGCTTTCGCTCAGGTTTGGGCGGTAGCCCTAAGGGCCCATCGGGTACTGCTGAGGCCCTCTGATGGAGGGAGTAGGTCCGGCGGGGAGGTGGAGGAGGCCGTTTCATCTTCCGCAGGGACACGCTCCTGCCAGACAGCTGCCCGCTGCTGCGGATGCTGGCTGTGTCTGAAACCTCGGCGGTGCTACCGCCACTGGGGGAGCCCCTCCCGCTCCCCCCTGGAGGAGGAGGTGCCACGCTACTGCCAGCAACAGAGCCCTCAGGCTGGCCCTCAGAACCCCCCTTAGAGGAGAGAGTGGAGCCATCAGACACGATGGTATCAGAGGACTGGGAATGGCTCCAGGTGGCACTGGATGAGGAAGAATGGCGGCTGCGGGGCCGCGGACTTGAGGCGGAGGAGAAGCGGCCCAGGGAGCGAACGGAAGCCGGGCTGGCAGAGAGCAGGCTGCAGCGACTCAGAGTGCGTAGGCTGCTTCGGCCCAGGGCTACCACGTCCACCGTGGGAGGCAGCACCGCGTGTGGGATCAGCTTGGACAAGTAGGTGGCCTGGGGCGAGATGGACATGGCTGGACTCAGCGGCTCTGGAGGCCCCGCCCCTCCTGTCAGTCCAGGCACTGCGAGAGACATGG